ATCATTGGGTGACACAAAAACATCACAAATTTGGGGAAATATTGCAATTCATCATCAAATGGTGAAACCAGACCAGAGCCAGGCAAATCATGGTAGTTTAAACCAACAGCTTCCATACATAGATGCATAATACACATATTTGTGCGGATTTACCAATCAAAAAATCTGCATTTATCCATTCAAATCAGAAGTGCCGGCCGGGTCAAATCAATTTTCACATTTTTCAGTGGTACTTCTGCGGTGGTGCAGGGCAAACATCAATACGATCGCGAAACACAAGATCTTACAGTCATAGCCACAGCACCAACTCCCGGAATTGATTCAAGGAAAAAATCAAAACAAGAAAACCATAGAAGTCCATGATGTGATAACCCAATAATAAACAATCCCCAATTTCAACAGAGGTGGTATAAACCCTCAAAATCGGAGGTCTTTACACTTCAGTTTATCCTCCGGTAGTTGAACATGGCTAGCTGGGAAATCCTATCTCTCTGGGGTTTTCATTGGAAAATCATGGGGCGAAATGGGTCTAAATGGGGCATCTTACGACATCAATTACTCAAAAAAAAGGTGGTTTCAGCGCCACCAGATCCACCAAGTGCCCTTGCAGAGCTGTTCGAACTGATCCAGGTTCAAACCATCATTGCTCCCAGCCTCAAAGCCACTAACCCACGGGTTCTTGACATCCATGCCAAAAACATACCAAACTCATGTCTAAGTAGGGTCATCTGGTGGATGGAACATCAAGAGTACTTGAAAACATCTGCCAGCAACATCCCGGAACCATGAAATGAGTCAAATGAGATGGGATTTAGAAAGGGAAACGGGGATTAGAAATGATGTGACGGTCAGTGAAATTCGGATCTGAACCCCAAGACAGGGAATGCGATCAGCAAAAGAACATGTGTTTGCCGGACACAAAACCATGTGGCTAGCTAGTGGTTGAGCCACCCAGGCCCCAAACAAACATGCCAGTTGAGGTTATCATGATCATCTCCCCAGCAAGCCCTAGGCTGCGATAGAAAGGAACAACACGTGTTTGCAAACACCAAACAGTAAGGGCTCTGTGAACCCTTACCACCTATTGGTGATTCAAACCCACTTCACACGGTTTAGCCTTGTTCTCTCCCGGGTTTGCGATTTCAAACGCAAGATTGTCTCCTCCGCAAGATTGTCCCAAAGTTCCTCCTCAACTATGCACTGACTTTTACGAAAACCTCTGTCCAAAAAAACACGTATCGAAGTAGGAGGGGGTGTAGGGATTGTGTCGCGCCTTCTTGGGGCCATAACCATTGTTATATATATATGAACCAATTTTCGGAATTTGTGTTTCCCTTGTCCCTTGTTACTGTGGGGCTCTTCCCCCCTGTGCTGTTCAATGTTTTGAATCCACCCAGTAATGGGTTATTATATAATATGACTAAATATTTCTATAAATATATATATATATAAACCCGTTGGTAATCAAAAATGGTAAAATGGAGAATGCCAAATCTATAGGTGATGTTTCCATTAAAAACCTTAATGTAGGATCTCCCAGCTAGCTACGAGTGAGGACACCGGAGGGTAATGCCAATAATCACCATTAGTCAGGATCTCCCAGCTAGCTACGAGTGAGGACACTGGAGAGTAATGCCAATAATCACCCTTAGTCACCATCATTAACAATTTGCAAGCATCAGGTATTTTATATATAATAAGAAATAATATATATATATGAATATATGTATAATATATATGTATAATATATATATAATAAAAAAAAATATGTATAGTATATGAAGTATCAAAAATAAAAAAATAATCGAAAGAAGTTTAGAAGTCAAACTTCCGAGAATATGGACAGATGAAAAGCAGAGGTGGGAAGAGTCAGAGAAGAGAAGAGAAGAAGAAAGTGAAAGAGTCAGAAGAAAGAAGATCCAGGTGCGCGAAAAGGTAGGAAAGTCGCAAAACACTATGTTTTTTCCAATGATTTGTGGCTCCGGAGGGTCGAAAAGTAGGCCAGATGAGGGATGAGAAATAACACGCCGTTCTGGCGCGAAGCACATTTCCAAGTCAAAATGTACAAAGCACCTCAGCTTCGGATCGCTTTTAGAAGTTGCGATGTCGAAAAAGTGCACGCCGTTGTGGCGCTCAGCACATTTCGAAGTCAAAATGTACAAAACACACCAGGTCCGGCAGGAGCTTGTGGAGATTCCACCACATCAATCCCGGAACCAATGAGCTCCATATGCGTGGCATGCAGGCCCTTGTAGTCCTCAGTAATGTTGGATGGACAATAGTAAAGCGCGTGCAATAGCTACATTTTTTTTTCAGAATCTGATTTTTCAACCCCTATTGATTTTAAATTAGGCCTTATTGATTTTAAATTACAGACATCAATCTTGGTCCAGAGCATCTGCAATAATTGTGCTGCATTCGCAATGGCTGCAAATAATTTTCAGAAAAATCCCAAATTGTCAGATTTTTCCAATACTAAATTGTACAAGGGCTAATTGGGATTTAGTATGGATGCAGGAAAAAAAACTCAGAACCAGTTACAGCTCAGCTGTATTTTTTCCCTTCTTCCTTTTTGTTTTTTTTATTGTGGTTGAATGGTTTTAAATTGTGATTGCATGCTTTTCAAAAGCAAAAAACAAAACAAACCTTTACCAAATCAAAAACTTTACCTTGTTCAAAAGAGCCGTTTGCTTTATTAAAATCATTTTAAAACATTGCAAAAAATAGGTCCACAAAGGGTACCCCTTGCAGATCCTTGCATTTAAAAATTGGAATTAGCACGTGCAATAAAACACAACCTTTCTGGCTCAGCTGTATTTTTTCCCTCCTTCCTTAGTGTTTTTAATTGTGGCTGAATGGTTTTTAATTGTGATTCTCACCAAAGCCTATCAGAAAACAGAGGTTCTCAATCAGAATCCAATGAAGATCTCATCAGAGCCCATCAGAAAAGAGAGGATTTGTCAAAACCTTACAGAAGCCTTGGGGAAGAGTTGGGGTTTTCAATTTACTATTGCAAAGCAGACCACCCCCCCTAAAAAAAAAATAAAGGGGTGGGACCCCCTTTACTATTGTCGATGTAACATTATTGGTGCCACCTTGCGACAGCCAGAACTTGTTCTCGTCGGATTTGATCAGCATCTTCCCACCACTTTGTTCGAGAACTTCAAAAAAGAAACCGTGTCCAAACTGTTGGCACATGCCGTGCCTCCAGGCACAGGTAGACAGGTAGACAGGTAGACAGGTAGACAGGTAGACAGGTAGACAGGTAGACAGGTAGACAGGTAGACAGGTAGACAGGTAGACAGGTAGACAGGTAGATAGGTAGATAGGTAGATAGGTAGATAGGTAGATAGGTAGATAGGTAGATAGGTAGATAGGTAGATAGGTAGATAGGTAGATAGGTAGATAGATAGATAGGTAGATAGATAGATAGATAGATAGACAAATAGAGAGATAGAGAGATAGAGAGATAAAGAGATAGAGAGATAGAGAGATAGAGAGATAGAGAGATAGAGAGGTAGGTAGATAGTCAGAGAAAGAGAAAGAAAAAGAGGACCTCAAGCACCTTTCGGTCCATCAGTGGATTCGCTCTGCCATCCATGAGTCACAACAGCCAATCTCTCCTATAGGTTTCCTATTTTTGAAACTTCCGCCACCGCCTTGTGCGGTACTAGTGATATACATACATATATATATATTATTATATACATATATATACATATATTGTTACATACATATATTTACATACATATATATATATGCCCAACATTCACCAGTTTGTCTCTTGGCCTTCAGCTCCGGGCTGAGGCTCACACAAAGGAGTAGGCTCGACGTTTCACGGCTTCCAAGTGCACACCCTGCGGCGACATCTGGGGATTCGTCTTTAGGGTCGACCTTTGGAAAGTGGGATGTTATCACCTCAGCTGGAAACCAGCACTACTGGTTGGTGGTATGCCTACCCCTCTGAAAAATATGAGTTCGTCAGTTGGGATGATGAAATTCCCAATATATGGAAAAATAAAAAATGTTCCAAACCACCAACCAGACTACTATATTCTAGAATCTAGATGTAATCCATTGCATGAGATCCCGTTCCGTAGCGAAGCTTAGGTTTGGCAAATGTCACTTCCTAGACCCCAGCACCCTTAGCCAAGAACACATCCCACATCATCCCACCAACCCTGGCCCAGCTCTGTTTCTGGAAATCGGCCATCTGTACAAGCGCCGCGGTCGCCGCGGTCACAGGTCCAAGCCTGCCGGCACCTGGTCCAGTGGTGGAATTTTTCATAGCGGTTCCGGGGCACCTCACCCCCCAAAAAGCCTGAGAATTCTTAGTGAAACGGGGGAGTTCTTGAGAAGATTGAGAAGGGAAAGAAGCATAAAGAAGCCGACCCTTCTTGTAGCTAATGTCCACTCACATGTTCTATGATTTCCGCACGTACATTCCATGCATATCCTATGACAGACTGCCGGCATAATCATGCTAATGCTGAGTTATAACTACGCAAAAATAAATGATGTCAAATCATGTGACCATCCGCATCCAAAAAAAGGCAATAGTGCTGAGCTGTTCATATTCATATCACTCAAACATTCCATATGTGGATGGTGTGGGATTCCGTAGTGCTGCAGGGCTGCCAGCTATTAGGATATGATATGCCTAATCGTGGGATAAATATAAATATATATATATATATTAATTATAATTATATATATATATATATATTTCAAACAACCAAAGTCCAGGTGCCGAATCTGATCTCATTTCAATGTAAAGCCTATTTTCCCGCTGCAAGGTTGCAGTACCTTTAAATTTGCTGCAATTCGGCCAATAGTCCAAGTAGCAGACTTTGGGGGTATGCCACCCATTTCTGGTAATGTGGTAAACCCGATTCAGCAAACAGCCCCAAATCTGGGGCATGCTTCCCAATATCCTAATTGAAAACCAAATGGATTTGAGTGCTGATTGATTTTTGGTGCTACCACGCTAGTGGGTTACAAATACATATATACGGCTTATATCCCATTGAATTCCTTAAACATCTTTAAACGGTTGAGAACCCATAGCATTTTATACCCCCCCATTTCCCCGATCTACTGGTTTACTCAGAATGAATGAATAATGTGGGTAAAGCAATAATAAACCATCCCCAATTTCACCATAGTTGCTATGTTTGCCATTCCCAAATGGGTGGATTTGTGTTTTAACCACATTAGAGGTTGATTATTGGACATGATTGAGTAAAATTGGGTATAATTACCCCTATTTGGATGAATAGTTAAGCTCTATCCCAATCACTAACCACAGTACCAAATGCGCCTCCACCACTGCGGGCCCGGGGGCAGCCGGTGCTGCATAAGGTGCTGTGTGCCGGCCGTTCCGGCCAGCAACCTGCCGGTGATCAGGGTGGAACTTCGCTGGCTGGAAGAAATTAAGCAGCCACATAGAAGAGGAATTTATATAACATATTTGACTTATATTATATACATGATATATATATATATATATTTAGTTTTATATATATAGTTATATATATATATATGTATATACATATTCAATGTCTCTCTCGCATGTTGAGAGGAGTCTTGATAATTTGTTAGTCCAAAACATAGCCATTTAGACATGGATTTTCCATGGAATTGCCCAATGAATAATGAATAATAGATGTGGGTTTTGTCTAGACAAAGGAACATAACCAAGAACTGCGCTATGCGGAAGGGGCACTGACGACAAACCATTGCCTTTGGGGTGCCCTGTTCTTTGACAAATGCAATTCTTGCACCTCAAAGTCACACCTAGCAGAACAACTCATTTAGGATCTATTCCTCATACAGTGATTGGGAGGTTTGTGATTGGGTTGTTGGAAGTAGCTCATACAAGGACTACCCGTATGGCTGGCGCACCTATATACATCTGGCATTTAAGCGAAAAGATATATTTAACATATACAAAAGATATCAAAAGATACATCTGACCTCAAAGACCGGCATGAAACAGCACTAAATAATTTAATGATACTCAGCATATGACTCAATATGCTTAAACTGTTCTTGGTGGTTTCAACCAACCTGGAGCAACGAAACCCCCAATGAAAGCCTCCTAATCCTCCTATGGTGGATCTTGCAATTGGCACAGATTTGATATGATTTGATTACCGGGTACATCAGAAATATCGATAAATGGATGGATCATGGGGCCCCATGGGGCCCGGCCTCAATTGTGGCTGCAGTTGGTTGAGGTGGTGTGAGTTCTAAGATCTTTTCCTCGCATGGCAAGGGCGTCCAAGTGGCGCATCCATTTTAAGGTGGGCAGGTGAGTCACGGATCCCCATTTTAAGCGCCCTCTTATCAATGGCCATTTCAGGAACCTAAATTGGAAGTACCTACCTTATACAAGGCCTATGTAAGCCTATGTAAGGGGATGTACCGCCAAAATATGGCCTTATATGGTACAGTACCTCCATTTCAGGATCCTGGAATTCCCATTCATCTTATTGCTAGTCAAAGCCCTCAATGTTTCAGGTGTGTAAAACGCAACCCAAGAGCCATGCAAGGCCCAATCCACGAACCACCGAACGCCAATGGGTTCTGTGGTCATGTCATATGGACTGGCCGGGGGGTCATCCCATAACTCATCCATGGATTCCAGGCCCATCTTCTGCAGAGGTGCTGCAATCTTCTCTAATCTCGCGCGTTTCCGCTCCAGGATTTCCAGGTTTTCCTGAGATTTCCGGTGGTAATCGGAAGTTGAGGGGCACAGCAGCTGGGGAGCAACCAATGGTTGTGAGATCCGATTTATTTTTCAATTTGAATGGAAAAAGTGTACTAACGATTCAAAGCTATAGATCTTATAGATCTTCCATGTGCTGCTGGTTTGCGCATTCTCTGCAAGAGTAACGCATAGTTGTTCATGGCAGAAAGAGTCACCTTTTAATTAAGAAGAAATGTGTACTGATGTCGCGGGAGAATGTCGCTATTTGAGGGGCCCTGTGCTTCTGTTTTGCTCGTTCAACCTCGCCCTGCAAAATGGCATTGCATTCCCAACAAAGTTCTTGCGGACATGGCACTGTATGTACATATATATATATATATATGATTATTATATATATATTAGTCCTTTGTCAAGCGCACTATTTTGATTGTGCGGGAATAAACGGGCACTACACTGCAAAACGCCCAAAGCTAAACTGGGTCATCGTGAAGTCAAGCCATCGCTATCCGCATCCACCTCTGGCAGAGCTGCTAGCAGCGCTTCTCGGAAATCAGGATCGTCTTCTTGTGCCAAAAATTCCTTCCTGGGACGCTGCAAGATGCTAAGATGATACCCTCTGGTAAACGTTTACATAGCTATTGAAAATGGTGATTTATAGTGGATTTACCCATTGAACATGGTGGATTGTTTTTCCATAGCAAGTTATGTAAACGTTTACCAGGCCGGGTAATCCAAAGTCGATTACGGCGGATATGGATGTTGTCATGATGTGGATGTCCCCCAATTGGATGGGATCATTGGAAAACAACTGGATTTATGGCGCTCTTATTGGGGGAAACCGAGGTTTTCAACCAAAGGGTGGAGTGAGGTACCAGGACGAACCCACATATAGTTCAAGAACTATACCTCAAATAATGTAACCTGCGGATTGAAAATCATACTTGTCATGCGTGTCTTTTTGTAAACCCCGAAAATCATACCTCATCACTATTTCTGTAGAGATTTAAAAGTTTGCCTATTTTGTGGTGGTTACTATACTCATGATCTGTGATTTGTTGGCAGGCGACATTCTGATCATTATGCCAGTATGCATGAGAAAAAACCTCCGGACCCCCAGTACCGTGGAAATTCCATTGGGAATATCATTGGCCATGGTTTCTTGCATCCCAAATGATGTCTAACGTTTTTCTTTTCCGTTGTTTTGGCTTAAAATCCGAATGAACTACTGCTGCGGTTATAGGTGGTTAATAAGCCATCCGTCTCCATGGTTGGTTAATCGCTTAATGAAGATGACCATACAATTTCCCAACATATCTCGTAGTATAAGAACCCCTGAGAGCAAAAAAAAACTTATCAAGCGAGATTACACTCCGGTAAACAAACACAGCAATTGAATATCCCCCAATTCCAGGCGATTGTCCAAATAAAACCCTCCATCTCTCATTGCCATGTTTGATTACCAGAGGGTACCCCTATTATATTCCCATTGAGATGGAAACAGTTCTGCACAGTTCTTAACTGGTATCCCTATTTTGGCTTGACAGTTATTAACTGGTCCCATGATTTTTGTTGACGGTCGAGTGGCAACTGCCCGTTGGAATGTTCTAATCTCTCGATCTGTTTCTTTTCTTGGGCCTGGGAGACGGTCAGAAAAAAAAAGCACAGTTCTGGTGGCGGAACGACCCCAGAAATGAAGATTCAACAGGCAAACATAGGCAAAACTCAGGGTTTCAACCATCGCAAATTCTGCTTTCAAGGGGAAAACATGTATAAATTGGATATAGATGGGATACAAACAATCAAACATAGGGATTTATATCAGCAACTATTGTTGGTGGTTGGTGGTTGGTCTACTCCGAACTCCTAGCCATTAGGGGAACGTCACCGTTAAATGGGAGAGTTAGCTGAATCCCCATCAAACACATAGGATTCAACTGCAATGTGCCCCCACCCAGTCACAAGTTGTTATTACAAACCCCATTTGCTATACTTATAAGTTATTAGATGTGATATATATAATAAACCATGGTTATTGGAGTTATAAACCAACTCAGCCGAAAACGTATATGAAATATTATGAAATTATGAACCTGTCTACCCTACCCCAAGCCGTTGCAAGCCGTCTTCACCCCATCCGCGGCAACACATCCACCAAAGGCTTCGGGCCTGCAGAGCCTTCAAGAGCTGCAAATCATCTGGCAGGCCATCATCATCCAGGTTTCGCGGCTCCAAGCGCCCATGGATTCCCAACTTTGGGATATGTATCTGCCATGGGAGCCAGGGGAACCGAACTCGAAGTGCTTGGTGGTTTCAAGTCAACCCCTAAAAAATACTCAGCTAACAAGTCATCTCAGCCAATCATATCTTAAGTATGGTTGAAAACAATGAATATTTCTGACATCCCCAGATAACGGTTGGACATATATACAACATGTGTGAACCACCAGGCACCTAAAGTAATGGACCGTCCATTAAAACATTGCGGAGGTTGGTCGTGATTGATCTCTCCAAATGCCCATGATGAGCCACAGTCACGTTTTGTATTGAAAAGTTTACCTCAAAATAAATGAACAATGAATGACTTGTAATCTAATGATTATCTAATGTGTGTAATACATATTTACCTTGAGCTTCCGAAACCTGCTTTTCTTCCCGGAATCCTTGTTTTGAATCTGATTACGCCAAGAAATCAGGTAAACCAAAAAATGCCAGGTATTTTGTTTCATAGCGAGTGGAAACAGGCATGAGTAAGTCCAGCGAGATAAGCATGGCAGCATGACATGCTATTCTTCGCAGCCACTCACCACACACGCTTCAAGCACAGAATGGCACCACAAACATGTTGCTTCATTCCATCAAATGTAGTAATGTGATGGCCACAACAAGCACAACTACAAAGGTACTTAAAATATGTTTGTCTCTCACAAAGCTTCCTTTCAGCAAAGAACTCAAATTTGGATCAAAACCGCACAAATTTGAGCATGGTGGACCTGGAAGCTATTTTCGTAGCTGGTGTCAATGCATCACATGTCGCGAACCTTCTTAAGCGCGACTACAGTGTCAAAACAACAGCATTGAAGGTGCATATATAGTTGTATAGAAAAAACTAAACAAAAGCAGGTTAAAGGCAGCTCGAATCGAACATAAACTGAAGTATACTTCAGGACTTGTTTTACCATGTTTTATATTGTTTTACAGGTATTTTACAGATTTTTACGTTTACGAATCTTACGTTGCAGAAATCCCGGGTATTTCATGAAAGATTCCATGGAAGGCCTATCCAAGCACATGTGCCTTAAGTTGGACCAACAGTGCTGCAAATCACAAAAACTTCTTTGCTCGCCCACTTCAAAGTCTTGCAAGGAAGGGATGGTTTTGGCAAACTTATGATCAATAAATCAAAGTTGCATGGTGAGTCGGCCACGATCAATATCTTTGTATCAATGTGTATCATATTTTTCTGCGTGGCAAATCCGTTCCGAGGATTTGTGATGGTGCTGCCATTGTGCGTGGAGGTCATGTGGTGCCGAATGATCTGATATGATACCATTCATCGCGTGAAACAGGGTAGTGGAACAACTTGCCTCAATTCATATCCATTATAGCCACCAAAATCCACCGGAGGAGTATAAATGTGGATGCCAATCAACAAGGGTTCGATTAAAAACATAGCCAGGTATTTTTTTTGCATTACCTGGTATTTCCAGTACTGGGCAAGAAATACCTGGTAACTTTGGTTCAACCCAAGAAAAAGATAGAAAAAGTAGGTAAAAAATTCCCTAGGTATCTATCATTATATATTGTAACGGTAGTAGTTACAATATCAGCATGTCGATTATTGCAGGTCTGCTTCTAACGACCCGAATCTCGCGCCAAGCCCATTTCTGGAGGTTACACGGCCAAGCGAACAGACCAAACCTCCACCATTGGACCATAGCGAGTGGTTCGCCACTGATGATGTCACTATGCCCTGAACTCAAGGACTGATGATTGGATACCCATCATTTCAGGAAGGTTTTCTCTTAAGGTTTTCTCTTAACCTTGTATTCTGAGTGTATTATGTAAGTTGATGGACAGAAAGTTTTCAATGCTGATGCCAACTGTTAAGTTGATCTTGTGACAATCATGCCTAATAGATGCTTGATCTGATATTGAGCTGGCAGTGTCTGCAGTTGTGTCAAACATCCCTTGTGGGATACCTCAAGGTTTGGACAAACATGTGAACCGCCGAAGCCAACGTGACGAACCGCCTGGTTCTTAAGTAATGGAAGAATGGGATGATTGAAAACAATTAATGCTCATGGACTCGTGGGTCATTCCGATTCATTTCCCAATTTACAGTTTTGGCCATTTATCAGTTATAACTTGTTATTTCTATGGGATTATATATTCCATAAATTTGGCTTATAGATACTTATAACTGGAAAAGGGCCATGGGCCATGGGGCACTGTAGCAATATTTGTGGCGTAATAATCCCCGCCTCCAGCTGCAGCTTCATACCAAACTGCTCAGCCAAACCTTCCAAGGCATAGGCCTCGACTGGTCAATTCCCATCCCAAAACGCGACTGGGTCACCGTTGCAACAAAAAGGGCCGGGGATCATCTTCAGCTGGATGAAAATGGCCATTGTATCTACCCATTCTACATCCAAAAAATATACAAGTTCAAAGATATATATATATGTATATGTATGTGTATATATATATATGTATATGTATATATATATATATATGTATGTATATATATATATATATATGTATGTATATATATATGTGTGTGTGTGTATGTGTATATACTGCATATATATATATATATATATGCATAAAAATACACGCATAAGTGACAGCAACAGCAACATCTCAATCGGATTGCAGGAGCAGATTCTATCGCAGCTCTCTTAGAGGTCTGGGCCCTCAGACCGCATGCTCAGCAGGCAGGACCTGGGGTTGGGCGGTCGCTTGCCATGAGAATTGGGGAGATACGAATTGGGATGCCCCAGTTACTATATTAAAATGTGGAAAAATGTGAGAACATGATGATCAACCTAAATAGTAATGTAGCCTCAATTTTGATCAATATAGTAATACCTAATAGTAATACCATATCAGTTACTATTGATCTCTATATAAAATGATGATCAACCATCACATTTTCTATTTTTTGGGGGTATTTTTTGCCTATTTTTAGAGCTGCTGCTCAAACCTGGCATGGCTAAACCTGTCAGGAATCTCTCCAAATACCCGGCCTGGTAAACGTTTACATAGCTATTGAAAATGGCCATTGAAATAGTGAGTTTTCCCATGAAAAATGGTGATTTTCCATAGTTATGTTAGTTTACCAGAGGGTATCAACAATTGCAAGCACCAGTGGCTCCCCACTTGGTTCTCTACTTGGCACGTTCCAAAGAGTTCCCTGTGCCAATGTCACATGAATTTTCCAGCTACACGACATATCTGGATAAATTAGAACAATTCACCAAGCTGAATTAGATAGTTAAGGCCATTTTGGGATACTTAACCAAATCCTAAGCATCATAGACTTTAAAATCTATCCATAAAATCTATCCACAACACGTTACAACACTTGAAACCTTTCAGCCATTGCACACGTGGGTCACTGCTGCGCCTGTTGGCCCGGAAGCAATGCGATGGACCAAACCTGTCAACCGCTGAGAAAAGAATCATGAATAAGATTATATATATATATTATATATATATATGATTACCTACCTACCCCTCTGAAAAATGATGGAGTTAAAGTCAGTTGGGATGATGACATTCCCAACTGAATGGAATGTCATGAAACATGTTCCAAACCACCAACCAGTATATCATGGGAATCGAGATAGATGGGAACCAGTATGGGGATACCATAGGACATATAACGACATCAATATTAATGATATTAATTGGGACTATATCATGGGGAAAAACATGGATTGTAAATTATCGTTTTTTGTCAACCCAGGATCTTGCTAAACCCAAGGTTTAGACAGGGGAGTTGCCGTTCAAGGCCCGCTATGGGATTGCGGCATCCTGCAGGTCCAAGTGTCTGTTCGCGAAGCCTTTCATCCCCGTGACTGGCGAGATCTATAACCCATAGGATCCATGGTGCTGGTATATATGCTAACATGAAGGGGGTATATTGATGGTAAATGTTACCATATATAGCATACATGGATCCTATGGGTATAATCCCCGCCCCTTTGACATGTTCATGGATGAAGGTACGTAACTTTGTAGATCTTTGTCGCTGGATACTTACGGTCCAAAAGGACAAAAAAACTGGAAAATGCCTCGCATGCAACGCCCGCTGGGTCTTAAACAGGTTTCTAAGCTTAGCATAAGGATACACAGCAAATTGACAGCCCCGATATGCAGCAGCAAAAGATTGAATGTTCAAACCATTTCAAACCTTAAGGCTTTTTTTTAGCAATGATTTGCCAAATCCTGGCATTTCCAAAAACCTTTACCAATAATTCTCCAACAAGTGTCCAATCATTGTCCAATCCTTTCCCGATCACGATGGTCCAGCCCTTCACCCAATCATGTCCCAACTTTTTTGCCCAATGAAATCATGATAAATCATGCCCCATAACCCATGACGGATCCATGGTGCTATATCTGGTGTGCCATGGATCCCATCAATATACCCCCAATGTTAGTATATATATATATACCATACATGGATCCTATGGGTAATATTGGGATGAGATTAGATCCATCTCTCCGTGTGGCCAGGGCATGCCAGGGCTCCCCACGGACTCTGCTCCCCGGTGCAGAGTGGAAGGCTCGGACCTCAGCTCGCTGGTCTTAACATGTTTTAACCTATCCCAAAAATATGATAAACTATGCGTGTCATCTCAACAAATCATAACTACTGTATATAATCATCCCGAATATGGTTGAAACTTGAAACGCAACAAATTCAATAAATATTTGGAACCACAAGCCAGATAGCCAGAATATATATATATAATTAAAAGGACATGAGTTTACCCTGTGAACATCCATGAGCGGATGTTTGTGTTCCATGAATTGTTATGAATTTACCTGTGTTTTCCACCAGTTATCGTGTAAGTTGGGGTCGCAAGCTGCTGGGGTGATGGAACTACCCAATGAGTGATAGATAACTTGGATTAGTTGGATCATGGATATGGCCCAATGACCATATCTAGTGCGGAACAATGTTGATATACCAACGGATCTTGGGGTTGCTGATGGACGGTTGGGATACCTGACATCAAGTATCATCAAGTCATAGGGAGTTCATTAACCATCAACACCTGTAGACTTGTTGGAGAAAATGATTGGATTGATATAGATTGATTTTGATAGGGATCATACCCTCCATAGAAATCCACACATGTCAAAGCGTTGGATCTTAATCAACCCCCATATAGCTATATATAGCTATACATGTCCAACTCATACAGTAGGCCAATCATCCTAAGATGTCATCTTGCCCCGGAAAATGGCCGCAGTCGCCCTCCTTCCTTCCTCCCAGCGGCGCAGTGGGTCGCAACTACGCTTTCTAAGTCGACGGGCCAACCACATGCCCGAAAAGCAGCACCCATGGTGCAAGACCACAGCCCAGCAGAACGATCATGAACGATCTACCCTCCGGCGACATTAAAGGCTGGGAAATCCCGCAAATCAATGGGCATGGGAAAATCATCTACAACTATAATCAACTATAGGGGAATATCATGGATTGTCATGGATCCATGTTTGATTCGTTTGATTAAAGGGATCCTTTTAGGGTAAATGAGGGGAACCGCCCCCACAGTTGCAGCCTGGATGGAACCAAATTCGAGCCATGCAAACGAATCCTAAGCGCAAAAATGTGAGAACCTAGTAACTCGAAATATACATGCAAAGTGGTAAACCAATGCTTGAAGATATGTAAAGGATTGTACAGGTACTGGGTACGTGCCAATATTTTCAGTCAATAGAATTACCATTGTTTTCGGGCACTTTGAGTGTGGATCGCTACAGCTACAACAATCACATGGGCCCCAAATCACCAAAGAGCCGGCCGAGTGAGGTCTGGCACTGCATCTGTACATCGCCGCGTTTTGTAGGCAGAAAACGCGAATTTGGAGCCCAAGCAGCGAGGCGTCTCGGGCAGAAAAAATGGTACTAAAGCAGCTATGACCAATACGAATACCTGACTGGTGCTTTCAAGAAATTCCCATGGAAAACCAATGGGGAGCATCATGCTAAATTTCATTGTATGTACAATATTTATTTATTTATGGTAGCAGCACACAGTGTCAAGCTCAACCCATCAAGCACACTCGTAGTGGATTGAACCCTTTTTTTTCAACCCCATTAGCAATGATAACATCTGAAATTAAAACAGATTAAACATGTTGAAAACCTCGGACCCTATACCCTCTTAACCAGGTGGTATATGTTGGATTCATCACCAAACCTTACCACGGCTCTGAAAGATCTGAAAGCACCAGCTGTGCCAGCCGTGGTGCGGCTGATGAAATCTGATGAAATCTGCAGCCTCCAATCACCTCATGGTCAGGCCGATTCGCCACTTGTCCTTGCCTGTCAAGCTGCTACTGGGAGAGCAAGGATGTCCCAATGTTCATTCCACAGTGATGAGGTGATGAGAGACATGACCAAAATATCGAATCTATATGGATTCCTAAGGTATATCCGGAACATCCAGAAATAATCAGATATATCATCAAACCACTGGGTGGGAGCAACTTCCAGTACTGTAGATTGAATCTGCTAATGCTTTCATGTTAAAGATTTGCTGTTTCAAAGTTTGCTGGTGAACATCACGATCTTCAAATTTTGGCTTGGCTCATAGTTTTGTATAGTTTTGTATAGCCCATGACGGATCCATGGTGCTGCTATATCTGGTATATAACATGGATCCCATCAATATACCCCCTTCATGTTAGGAAATATATGCCAGCACCATGACTCAGCGGATTCAACAACTCATTCCTTCTGTGATTCATCATGAGTACGGTAATCATGATCGAATTTAATCAATTTAATCCCCAAGGGAACCCCCAATCATTATCTCATTATATCTCATTGACATTGATTAATCATGATTAATCATTTAATGTCAATGTCAATCATTAATCAATGTTAATCATTAATGTTAATCTCATTAATCATTATCCAATCATTAATCCCCCTGTGTTATTTTTGTGACTTGGCCAGCTTCAGATCGCAATTCACATCGATTCACCGGAAAATCCACGGTTCGCTCAGGCCTCGTTCTTGACGGCGCTCCGCAGACCTTCAGAATGAAATTCCTGTTGAGTTTCTGTAACTCGAAGTGATTAATTGATTTGTTGATCTATGGAATTTGTCTGTTCTATTCATTTCGATTCTATATATATATATATATATTCTATTATTTGATTCTATTATCAAGCATCTGATTCAAGCATCAAAATTGGGGTTTCAAATGGTTTCAACTTCAATACTTTGGCATTCACTGGTCGCTGAGCACACTCTGTAGACGGCATGGGATCCAGCTCTCCCAGTCGCTTGAAAAACATCCAAAAACTCTCAGGACCTAATGATCTAGCCACCCAGTCTAGCAAGGGAGGGATGAAAGATTTAAATAGAAGAAAATTGGACACCAACTAGCATAGCACTTGCTAAAAAAAAAATCAATGCGTTTGTTCAATTGCTTTCCAGTTACATCACTACCTATCTCCCTCTCTCTCTCTCTCTTATTTTGGCACATAGTCACGCAATGACCCTTGCATATCCACACATTGATGTGGGCCAATTTTCAATCATGGTTATGCCGCAATGCCCAACATTGACCAACAAGAGTATACCAACAATATTCTTAGCAAACCCGAAGTGGGATAGAACAGACCTGAGAAAGTTCCAATGACCCAGCAGCCTCTTAACTCATACACTAAAAACATCTAAAGACTCTGCAGGGGACTCGTGAATACGCTGGAAGCCAGTGACTCAGTTGCTTACTGAAAATCTCGCCCGATGTTAATTAATTGCATAGCCTATATCATCCCAAGCTAGGATAGCCAATGGTTCCTGAGGCCTGGGGATGGTGAACCCCTCAGAAAAACACTCCTCTTTACATCATTCAACAAGCTATGGCAGCTATGGCCCTACAGAGACCCATCTTTGATGGCCATACTGGGGCCATACTCCCATGATTTCCTATGGCACAAACGATGGTGATACAGAGCTACCGAAAAATCGCCCAAAATGCACCTCTGATGGGCGGTTTCAAAGCTTCAACCCATCTGACACATATTATATATAGTCAATATAGTCAATTGCGATCATCATCGCGAATAGGGTTGAACATATTCACTGTCCAAAGGGTAACAGATCATCTAATCATTATACAATGCCCTGTAGATGGTGTTGAGCATTAAGCACAATGTTAAACTGTTACATCGTAGCTTAGGCGCTCAGAGGCTTAGAGGCTTATGCGCTTTTGCCCAGTCTCTTTGCGCTTAGAGGCTTAGGCGCTTAGAGGCTTATGCGCTTTTACCCAGTCTCTTTGCGTTTAGAGGCTTAGGCGCTTAGAGGCTTAGAGGCTTGCGTGGTTTCTCTGAATCCCTTCTCCTACTGCAATGAACTGTTAGATGCCACCAAGTCACCACAGCCAGAAACAAATGTTCACTTAGTCGCCCCAGGAATTCCCCCAAAAAATCGGCCACAGCACAGGACGGTGACTTCCACTTGGTCATTCACGGAGGGGCCCGAGCGCTCGCGCAGCTCCGGTGGATAATTCGAGATCTTGGCCGCCATGGGATGAACATCAGATGAATGAACAACTAGAACATCCAAACTGATATTAATCTTTAGATATCTTTAGTGAAAGTTTATATACATTAAACATCATTAAACTAGGTTGAGGTTGAAAATTGACCATCTTAACCTTTTAGTTATATGTACAATCCTTAGCCGAGGACGTCCTTTCCGTTGGAGGTCATTTGCCGGTGAGACAAATCCGGACCACTCTCTGATTCTTTTGTCAAGGCCTCCGTTTTCTGGCCGATTTCTTGGAAATGCTGCTCAGTTCCATTCCATAAATTTTGGAAGATTTCAAAAAATCTGGAAGATCTGTAAATAAATTCCTACACCAGAGCTTTCCACAGTTGCTGTGGATGGAGAAATACCAGCACTCCGATGCCATGCACAGGTTTTTTCGGATCATCCCTTTGAAATTGCATGGGGAACACCCCATGTTCAAACATGGCTTTTCGTGGGAATTTTCCATGTCCGCGGCACGTGCAAGAGGCCATCGTGGCCCACCCCGACATCCACGAAGGCGCCGAAGGCCACCACATTCTTCACCACACCTGGGAGGAAATCCATGGCTTTCGGATGGTGTCCATATCTATGTTAAACAAACACTGGAGGTAATCATCAAATATCCCTAAAAAGGGGTATATATGATCATATGTATATATATATATACTATTTACAATTATATATGTGCCATTTTTTTAAATTGCGTTTTGGAAGATCATGGAAGTCTGGGGCAGGGTTGTTTCACACTTGGTGGAGTTCAACAGTTTTTCTGACATTTCAAACAGAGTTGCCTTCAACCAATCCTGGGAGCCATGGCATGGCATCGTATCCATCTGACTTGCACAGTTTTGGCAAATTACCCAAATAGTGGGTTGATATATATGAGGACAAGTTATCGAAAATCCGCAGTGCTCATTTCATGGGCAATCAAACTCAATGAGCCTCTCATTGCTGAGACTCTAGGGAATGTTTGGTATGGATGTAGTAGAGACAGGTCAAAAGTCAAAACTTACAAAGTGGTGCCCCCACGATATATTATAAGCTGGTTCACATAATAGCCCATCTACATATCTATGGTTATAATCACAATAAATCCAAAAGAATCAACCTAGACCTAGTCCTATTTAGGGCAACCAACTTAGCTAAGGAACTGAGGCACGACATTGTATAATTATATAGTCTGTAGAAAAAGGGGCACAGCACAAGATGACTCTTTGGTCACATCCAGTTCTTGAATAACTATTTCTATACGTCAAAACCTAGGTGCAGGGTTTTGATCCATAGCTGAAAGGTTGTAACCTTTCTATACATCAGCCAGTTCTGTGCCATGTCCATTCTACGGGTCAGCAAGCTGTGAACACACAAATCCAAAACATGTACGGTACCATATGCTCCACGTACGGTATATTTATAACATAATAAAGAATATTGTAAACATGTATAAACGTACCGCGCCCTCAGCAATAAACCATGTAAATGTTACAACTGTTTTTCCCCATCAAAAAAACATGTATGATCATCTATTGAACTGCCCAGCTAGCCATGTTTGATATTCAAAGGGGTACCAAAGGGATATTCGTAATGCTCCAAGCGTTGAGACACCAAGTCCTATGGAAAACAGGGCAGCTCCACCAAACCAACATAATTGCAGGTAGGGTAGTAAGTTCATGTAAATCCTCATGTGTTTTTCCAGTGCTTTTCTGTTTTTTGCTTGGATGCTGGTCATGATTGTCGTTTGCAGACTTGGTACAATCCAAGTCTTAGCAAATAAAATCCCCATAGCCCCATGGCCATGTTGAAATTTCGGGCCACATCCCTGGTTGTTGACGCCAGCATTTGAAACCACCAATATCCACCAATCCAATCCATGAGGATATTCAGACGAACTCTTCACTAACCTGACAAGTTCGGATATTTGGGGATAGTTACCCCTGTTACCGATCTCCAAGAGGATAGAAGGGAAACTGTTCTATGCCTTTGTTGGTTGCTATGGTTGCTATAAATCACCCACATGGCCCATCCATTTCACCCGCCGAGAAACCCAGCAGTCGCATCTGTGGCGTGAGCTGTGATGCCTGGATGAAATTACCGTTGAGCCGACCGAAAGCGTTTTTGTTGATGCAATTTCGACCAATTTTCAACCAACGGAAACACACAATTAGAAGAATGAAGCCCGTGTCTACTAACAGAAACGGAGTGGGAAGAAGGAAGTGTCTTCATAACATGTCATAACCAGACCAAAAGTGAGAGTTGGAATGGACTGGACATGCGATGACACGTGGTGATCAGTCCCTCATTCCTTGGATGCCTGGACTCCACAACCTTATACAAACTTCATATTTCAGGCAGTCATAGGCAGTCCCAATCTACCATCGCCTGTTCGCCGAAGTTCCATGAAAACCATTGAAAAGCCATGAAATTCGAAGAGCCAAAATATGCCAACATAAAACTCGCCAACATAGACAGTGACTCTCATCCATTCTCAAAAAAATCTGGGCATGGCACGGTGATACCCTCTTCTTGTGCATCAATGGCGGTGGAACCGACCTGAGCACACCATGAGTTCCTGTGAGTTCCCCCATTGTGACATGAATTTTCTTTTCGCATCTGATGACCTTATGGTTCTGGGTGAACCATGTCAAAGACATCGCTAGTAACTTAGTACAGGGATAGAACTGGCTGGTGGTCTTTGATACTTCGCACACCATGCTTTGGGTAGTTTAAGCGCTCCTTCAAGAAGTCTTGTCTTGTTGGCTGTTCGGGGTATTGCCATCATCGCTGATAAAATTTTGCTGTTCTTGCTCATTTCGCTATGTTTGTTCCGTAGGCCCAGCTAGGTTCCACGGTGCCTGTTTCCTCACTCCCCAAATAATACTGTATGAACCTGCACGAAACTCTCATGGGAGTTTTTTCATATCACTCGTCCACATCCTTATACTCTCAGCAGCATGGCCTGCGGTCAGGGCACCTGGGTTGTCTTCTTACCAGGCTCTTTGATTCTCATCGGAGCTTCTTGACGCCTGGCTATGGGGAATGTTTTGGTGATCCCAGCTTCAATTGAGTTGATCCTTCCGTACTCAGATAATCTAAGCCTTATGGGGCAATAGATTCCACGTCTGCCCCACCTGGGCAAATCAAGGTACTTCACAAAGCTGAACAAATATCTGGTTGGTGGTTTACCTACCCCTCTGAAAAATATAAGTCAGTTGGGATAATGAAATTCCCAATATATGGAAAAATAAAAGCCATGATCCAAACCACCAATCAGATATGAATTTGCGCAGTGCTACATCTGTTGCTAGTTATTGGATTCAACCAATGATCCACTGACGATGAAAAAAATTTGGTGCCTGGAAATCCCAGAACCTGAGTCCGGCCCATGTTTGTTTTTGTTTTTTTTCCCCCTAGCAAAGACCCAACCTCAAAAAACAACTGCATCTTTCTCATATGTCTCATATATATATACATATATATTACCCATAGGATCCATGTATGCTATATATGGAAACATGGATCCCATCAATATACCCCCTTTATGTTAGCATATATACCAGCACCATGGATCCTATGGTATATAATATTTATATTATTCATATAAGAATCCACATGATCTTGCACAGCCATTCTTTTGGAGGGTGCCAAAGTAAGTTTTCAGAGTTGACCACGGAAATCATCTTCCAAACCCGCCAAAGACTGGAATCGTCCGGCCAGTAGTGCTCGAAAAAACGAAGTGTAGTTGATTTTAAGCTTTGAAAAAAAAACAAAAAGAAAACACATAGAAACTATCTCTCTCTCTCTCTGTATCTTTATTGTGAAATCAAAGGGTGATTATCATTATTTCTCTTGTTACTATGCTGAATTTTTATATGTAATATGATGTAATGTGTGTTTGTCCTACCCTCTGGTAAACTAACATATGGAAGTCACCATGTTGAATGGGTAAATCAACGAACTCAATGGCTATGTTCAATAGCAAACTTTAACCAGGGTCATCACCAACATTCACCAACGATCTATCAATGGATTGGTTTAAGGGAAAAATTACAGTAAACCTCCATATTTCATGGGAAATCTATGGTTTCCTGTACCCTCTGGTAATTTAACATAGCTATTGAAAATGGTGATTTATAGTGGATTTTCCCATTAAAATTGGTGATTTTCCATAGTTATGTGACAGTTTACCAGAGGGTAGATGTTTCCCTTAAACTCCATTGAATATGCGAATTTTCGCTGCCTGGGATCGGAGGTGGCACCCTCCACCAGCGCGCCGCGAATGTCGCGCATTGTCTCCTCGGTTGGCTGACCAACAGCTGAGAATAATACAGTTATGGCCCTTTAGCAATTATAAGTACTAACAAAACCCCATGGAATGTATGATCCCATAAAGACAACCATAACGTAGTTATAACTAATAAATGACCATAACTGTAGGGAGCTTAACTCATTGAACCAACAAACCAATGGATATTGACTGATTGAACTTGGAATACTCACTGATTTATATAATCAACACTAACTTGGGATATGAACTGATTTAACCACCAAACAATTGGATGGATACGAAACATTATGTCACCAGAAAACTGATGTGACCAGTATTTTTTCAGATCTTCAGTTGATTTTCTGGAATGATGTGGATTTCAGCAACATTCCAAATGGGACCCAACTGACAACCGAACATCGACCAACATGGATGTTAGGCTCCAGAAGATGGATCAATCCCTCACAGTTGGATAGAGAGGTGCGTCCAGCAATGATGCCACTTGCGGAAGCCGTTTTTTTGAGAAATGATTCGAGTTGGATTCATTGCCCAACTCGGCTTTTCAGAATTCAGAAGTCTTCCAAGGATCAAACAAGAAAATGGGCGTTTCAACTCCAATGCCTGAAGCGTTTCAACGTTGTTTTATTGGGTGTTTCAATTACTTCAACAGCTTTCATCAGCTTGACCACCTCCATGGGATGGATATCCTGCAATGGTCTGGCTGACAGGGGCCAGAAGCTATGTTTCAACACCGCTTCACACAACATTGCAGCGTGCAACTCTGTTGACTTCTATTACGGAAAAATGTTACTGCTCAAATGGTCCTAGAACATCCTACCACACTATTTCTTGTGGCTGTCCACACGAAATCACCAATCCCTCAGCTGGTTGGTGTCTTGACGTTGTTTGACACCCTTAAAAAACAAGAAGTGAATTTGGTATCATCGTTCTTGATATAGGACGCTATAAGACAAATGTGAGGCCGGCCATTGTTGCCATCATGACATGACCAATGACTTAAACACCTGTGACCTGACCAAAAACTGCTCTGGAAAAAAAAAACACATTAAACCATCACCCATAGAAAACCCATCCCCCTTTCATTTCAAACACCCCTATATATGGTCTCAAAATATCCCAAAGATCCCAAATATGTGTTCCAATCCCTATACCCACCATGGTTTCCGTCTCCCCGTCTCTCCACCAAGGTGCCACTCCCACGCCAAACTGCACAGCCAGCGCTTCCACCGATGCTTCCGATGCGTCACCGGGCGAGTCTTGCAGGGATTTGGCCACTGCATAGCCTCAACAGCTGGCATTCTCTTGCTGAAGGAGACATGGCTTTTTGCCCCTCCATTTATGATCATAAGATGGCAAACATGTGAATATATACTTAAAATTATCTAATTAAAATTATAGTTAATTATTTAATAATGTACTTTCCTCCGACTCCATCAAAATGAACATTAATCCGTTTAGCCATCAAGCCAGATTTTACCATTACCCAGCTAAGGGTATAGAATGGTATAGACTCATGGGGTCCAAGGTGGGAGATAGTCGAGCAAATGGCAGCTCGAAATTGGTGGGCGAGTCCCTCAAAATAGAACGAGAGCCCGAGAGCGGTGCCGCCCCGTTTGCACAGCATCTAGGCTTCCATGTTGACTTTGAAGGCCGCCAGGCGTCCCAAGAGAAAGGTAACACAAGAATCTACAGAGGACTCCCGCACTCTTGCAGCCTCTAAAATCGATATTGATAGGATAGACATGGATAGACTAGATAACATCGATAATGATAGATTCATTTTAATATAAATATAATTTATAAGATAATATAATATATATATAATATTATATTAAATAAATAAATAAATTTATAAATAAATAAGCAAATCATCCAATCATCATCTTCTCGGACTTCTCTTGATTGACCTTGATAGTGGCGCTGACAATTGGACCGTCCCCCAGCCATGCGGCCAAACCACTCTCAGGATGGATGGGAAGGGCATCCAGCGGTTCGGAACCCCCAAAAATGCGCAGAAAACCGGCAGCCTGCTGAAAACCTGGGCAGGCTGCCGAAGCTGTCAAGTTTGGGATAATCCGACTTCAGCTCCGACTTGTGAAGGACCCGAAGATACCCGAATCTGATGTTGATTCATTTTCTCATGTTGGGGGCTCCGAAAAAATGGCAAGAAACACGCCAAAATAAAGTGTTCCCATCAATTACAGTGGTAGCATCTACAGTGGTAGCACCAAGTCCCAGATAGTCCCAGCATGTCTTTCCCCCCCGGTTGGGCCAGGCACTTTTGGGGCCAAAACCTTTGATCTTCAGCAGTTCCTGGCGATCTTTGAAGCCGCCCTTCTCTTCCCGATGTTTCAAGATGCTCCTGCCGGCGGCATCTCAAGATCCGGGGATGGTAAGAGATGGGAAGCTGATACTTTTGGGTTGGGACCCTTTCATTTCTTTCTGATTTGGTCAGTCTGCAAGGGGGCTAGAGTATGGGAAAACCAGTTTATATACAAGGAAACAAATTATAAACTTTTTGCAGTTGGGGTTGACGCAAAATAAATTACTGGATTTGACACTGGCCGTTGACTGGGATAGAATGACCCCGCTTACTATCTGCTCCTTGGCCGTCTGCGACAAAGAACGCAAACACCGGGAAAAACTATTCCAGGTTCAGTGTCCGGGCTGCAAATCTGAATCCTTACGTCCTGCGTCTTGAAATGTCTTGAAGGACCCGAAGAGTTCAAACTTGTTCCAACCCCAACCTGAATATGCTTGAGTCTGGGCCAGTCTTGGGAACTCAGAAAAGAAACCGATTCCCTGTCAACAAATGGATGCAAATGAACGCACGTGAATGTAAGTGCAGCATCTCATTCAAAATGTTTATCTCTACGTCTACTATGAAACCAAGGGAACATCACTAAAAAAAACACTGATCTTTTCATATCTTTTCCGCATAGTCAACCATGTCCAACCTTTTGACTTATCCCCCCCAAGGCTCTCCTTGCCAACCGGCCATTGAGCCCGGCCACATGCTCCAGCAGCGCCGGGGAGGCTGTATTCAGATCGACGCCCACGGAGTTCACGCAGGACATTGCGGCGCCACGCAACTCCTGCGGCGGCACCGGAGCCTTCGGAAAACATCGGGAGAACAGGGAGTTTTTTTTGAATCAATCGGATCACTAGAAGCACTATTACCTACTACTACTGCTACTACTGCTACTACTACTATTACCACTATTACCACTACTAGGTTTATTAACCTTATTATATATATATATATATATGAATATTTCTGGGCTCATTTAAGTGGGATCATGCCAAACGGGAAATGGATCAGGTTCAAGAGATCCAAGTGACCACGAATCGATCTTCAGTAGGGATGGACTGCCCAGGACTGTTCACAGAGAAATGCCAAGGAACAGGGGTGTCTGGGTTTTCGATGGTACCCTGCGGTAAACTAAACATAGATGTGGAAAATGGCCCATTCATAAATTGATATAAATTTATAGATGTTTTCCCTGTTTGAAATTATGATGTTCCACATCTATGTTAGTTTAAAGGATGGTATCAAATGAGTAAACCCATGCGGTCATCAGTCTGCAATAAACCCTCAGTGACATGGATACTTATGGATCAAACATCGGAGATCAGTGCTAAGAAAGGACAACGACAAACGGGCCAGCACTGAATTAGCAATGTAACATTAAAGAATATCACATAAATTATAAACATATATGATCATATATAAATATAGATAAGGAGAAAAAAACATGATGAAGAGCTCATTCGCCAATATCTTAAACTCACAATTCACTCAAACATCCAAACAAAAATCTAAGAATCTCCATCTCCATTTCACATCTCAAAAACCCCATCTTCATCCCATCACCGTCATTCACCGTCGCCTCGGCCAGGCGTTTCTGATCCACGTCGTGCTGGTAGAGTCCCACGCCGATGCTCCGAGGATCGATCTTCACCAGTTCCGCCAGGGGATCCAATAGGCGACGGGCGATGGAGACGGCACCACGGAGGCAGACCTGGGAACATGGCCATGGCCTAATCCCAGGAAACATATGGTGTTGATATGAAAAAACATAGGGAAAATATGGGGAAAATAATCTCTAAATGGGAAATGTGTGAAAAATTGTCACTTTTTTGATTACCGGAGGGTACTCAACAAATTTAATAGCGTGAAACCAGTAAATCCATGTGAATCCCGTCCCCTTCATATTTACAAATACCATCAAATACCCTTCACATGTCTGGCTGAGGCCTAGTTTGGGTACAAAGGTGGAATTTCAGAATTGGACTACCTGGATGGGAATCTCTTCCCATAGGCCATCCCCCACCAGGATCACCAGGTCAAGTCATGTCAAATCATCCACTCACCTGGTTTCACCCACGTGTTCCAATGAACTTCCAGTACAGTCACACCACTTGGAATCGGAATCTGAAATTCTCTGGCTGAAACATGTGTAAACTCTGAAGTTCCGGAATCTGACGGATCGTGAGATTCAAATCCTGCAATGCTGATGCGGTCTCATCCCACATGGATTTGCCTGAACGTTGGGTACCTCTAAATCCAGTGGTGTATCAACAGAACATGGCAGCCATGGCAATAAATTTTAAATGGCAACAACTTTCCCTATTGACATGGCAATATCTTGGGGGAAAACCTGCCAAATCTTGGCAACTCTTCCATACTCCATTTTCAGACGCTAAAACCATGCTCTTTGGGCTTAAAAAAAACCTCCAAATCCTCCATTTTCAGACACCCAAAGCATGTTTTTGTGTTTCTCCTGGTTCTCCCACCATTCGCAGCACCCAGGGCACGTCCAAGTCCGGCAATTCCGCAGCTGCCAGAGGCGAAGCGCTATAGACCTGAGATCTATGCAAGGTGGTCTTCACCAATGAATTGGTAGGGGAAAAACTATAGGAAACCCATGTTTTAACCGGAAACCATAGGTTTTCTCATGATATATATATATATATGATCACAGATACAGGAAAAAAAGGTATCAAACAATAGATCTAGGCTGATACAGGGCTATAGGGGTGCCCGGCTTCCTGTAGGTTTGTCTTAAAACACCAATCCATTGAAGCAATCCAAATGAACTTATCATTGAATGGGGGCTTGGTGGTTACGTTGATCCCTGCCTATAGGACTTTGACTTCACGGGGATATTCATGGATATTCTATGATATTCTGTGGCCAAAAAGTTGGCTACTCCAACGAAAACCGACACACAGACGGTATAGCATCCATCCAGAAGCAAAAACTATCAAAAACTCATTTCGTTGTCTCCAAGCATAGCTTGCTGGACTTGTTTTAATCATATTATTTTTAGATGAATATTCGACTAAAACCTCCATGGCTAGTTCGGGGATTTGACAGCTAGCCATGTTGGATGACACCGGAGAGTAAATCATAATCACCTGCCCCTCTCATGGTTTCGGGCCATACCAAGAGGCATCAAAGCTAGTCAGCTAGTCAGTTGCTAAAATCAAAAGAAGTCCTTTCAAAAAGGATATTTTAGTATAATTAATCGAGTATCATGTATACAATCTATATAATCTATAATCTATAATCTACATATTCCCACTGACTTGAATCTAGTATAATCTGGGAGTGTCGTCCCCTTGGGATGATAATGATGTTTTTTTTTTTTGTTAACAGCACCTAAGCAAGCAGTATGCAGGGCAAATACTTATATAAGCATATATAATAAGGTAATCATATATTATGAAATCATGAGGTGATGAGTGATCAGATTGGAATAGACTATTGATGACGCATCTTCAAAAACCAATAGAAAAGTCACATGCGAACTCTATGGATTCTGGTCAACACCAAGGTTCAGATGCCCCTGCTTCATCCACAATGGCATATCCTTGGGATGGACCCGAACTGATCCTAAGGTCCTGTGTCACTTCCCCTTTTCTTTTCGTTGAGGATATCGTCCATCAAACTTGAGCCTCACATATTGCCTTGACCTGTTTCCCAGCTACCTGAATGGGCTTCCCAGAGGTTGCTAGTGTTGGGAACAACTGGTCACAGTCCTGGTGGCAATCTCAACATATCTCAACGCATACAGATTGACAAGCAGGGCATCCTTAAGCAAAATTAGGATGGATCGCTTAGACTTGAGTTGAAACCATCCACAACTCTGGGGTCCTAAAGGGTAGCACGGCCCAAATTTCCCAGCAATTCCAATTTCTGCTGTAGCCACTGTAGTGGTTGAAAACCCATCTGATCATGCCAGCAACCAAGAAGCCAAACATGATTGAAACCACATGAAACCATGGTTTTCTTATGATTGAAACTACCACGCCCTGTGTTCAATTCTCCACAGCCAAGACTCCCAAGCCATTCTGGTCTGCGAACTGCTTTCTCAACCACGCTTCAGTCTCGCGACTAGCGGTACCATTACCTCAATCTTATCCAATGGTTGTGGCACACCTGAATCAAACTTAGGCTTATATAATCATTCTGATACCAAAAGTGCTTGCTTGAATGCTAAGCAAACAGCTGGCATTCAGGCTTCGAGCCTGCTCGTTTTACCAGCAAAAAAACACAGTTCCCATCAAAAGGATTTGGGGCTAGCTAACTGTTGACCAGTATCTGGATAATATCCTAACGTATCTTCTTCGGAGATCTTAAACATTCAATTTGATGGTCTATGGCGGTCTCTGACTGGTTGCAGTCATGAAAGGTTCCCGCATCTACATCATCCCCCTTAGCAATGGCCCAAGCTGCTTCTCTGGTAGGCCAATTGTAATCCCTTACCCGGGCCCATAATACATCCATTATGGCCCCCCTGGCCTTATTTTTTCTGAATTCAGTACCAACATTTTTTTCACAAACACACACACATAGATAGATAGATAGACAGATAGACAGATAGACAGATAGACAGACAGACAGACAGACAGACAGATAGATAGATAGATAGGTAGATAGATAGATAGGTAGATAGATAGATGGATGGATAGATAGATAGATAAATAGATAAGATATAGATATAGATATAGATATAGATATAGATATAGATATAGATATAGATAGATTATTAACATTGATTAACGGGAAACCATGGCTTCTCCACATCTATTCTCCGTTCGCTACCGGTGGAGAACGGTATACTTCGCCAGGCAGCCGATGCTGCACACCACCCGGCAGTCGTAAGCGGCCCCCGTGGCCGTCCGGCGGCGTTTGGTGGGGGGCTCCTCTCCCATGTTGGCACCTGAGGTGGTAACAGGTGGAAAAAAGGACAGGGGATCATACATAATACATATAATTGTATATATATATATGTGTGTATATGTATATATATATATATATATATTGATTGCAATATGCAATGATGTTAAATCATTAAAGCTAATTTTCTAGGTTTTCTCATCTGAAATGGCGAAACTTAGAGGCTTTGCACCATGCGCGGGCCAGATTCAACCCTGTAACGGTGACCCCCGCTGTCAAGGGCTTCTGCTAACAAGCCCCGCTACGATGGAGGGTCACTGGGCTCGGTTAGTTCTCCCCCAAAATATCAAGTTGGCTACTGCATATATATATATATACACATATATATATATATACATATATATATATATTCCCGAAGACTATTGCATGATTACTCCATATGATTGGTATATATACCACTAGCATCCCCACGATAATCTGATAAACCTCCGGCGGCATCCATGGCCAGGACCGCAGGACGGGATAGCAATTGATTCCTGGTTGCGATATAGCCTCCAATGTAACAAAGATAAACCCTAAATGAATCTAACAACAAACTGCCCGAACAAAAAAACAATAATCTACCCCTGATTGTTTTACCATGGATGGTTGTTTTCCATATCTGAACATATTTACTGGAGGGTATCAATATATGTCAGCCAACAAACTGTGCCGACAGGCTCCTAGAACTTCCCCTATTCCACAGCCAAAGAGCTAAATCGAACCAAAACAAAGTGGAAGCAAAAAGAGTCACTTCTTGCCTATATATGGATAATATATATATATATGGATAATATAGGGATAATATATATTGGATAGTATATATTGGATAATGTATGGATAATCTGAATTCAATAGAATTCTCCGTTGAATTGGTGTTTCACATGGTGTTTCACACTCACCCAATTCACCAACATTCACCAAAATTCACATCATATTCACTCTCCAACATCCATTGTCATCCATCAACATATATCAACATCCAATACGAAGCCAAGGATTCCCATTGGGATTCCCAGGGGTTCCACCAAGGCGCCACCTTCCAACATCGCCTCTTCCAACATCTCCGTCAAGGCCCGTTCGGCCGCGACGTGCGCGACGTGTTGTCCCTGCGGAGGATGAGGAAAGATGGTCTTGGTGGACAGCACCTGACCTGAATGGCGATGGAATGTGGTCAGTGTAATCTAGGTGTAATAATGATGATCATTTATTATCTTTATTATTGTTATACTAATAATGATGATAACAAACAGTAATGATATATTATATAATATATTCACATATATATATAATAACAATGAAGGGGTGGTCGGGTCAGAACTGATGTTATGCAGGTAATAAATAGATGTAAATAGTATAGTCGCAGTTGCATACCATCTGTACCAGACCTCAGAGTAATTTGCAGGCGGTAGGTGGAGCAAATGTTCAACATAAGATTAGCAACTGCTTTGACACGTGGAGCACACCGAAACCTGCATTTATTCGAGGCCAGTTTGAGCTGAGCTGCTCCGTATATCCCTTCTAGCCGCTAGCCTTCCTGTCTGAAGTTCGTTCATGCAAAGATCTGCCAGATATGTACTTAATATTTACTTGCATGTGTTTGTACATGTGCTTACACGCAGAATCACATGAAACACATAGATATAGCACCCGTTTTATGGCCATAAGTGCACTGACTTGAACCCAAGGAACCTGTCAAGGAGATCAAAGCACACTTGCAGCCCGTGCGAAAGGCAGGATCCACTCCGATGATGGCCGTGGTGGGCCTATGGGCATCGGAGCCCCATTCGGGGTGTAGCCGCAACCTCGGCAAAGAAACTTTGGAGGGGCCTGTCTGGCAAACCATGTGTCATCAGTTACTTGTTGTATCTTATCATATCTCATCATGTCTTATTTAAATATAATATATACAGTCAGTATACATACGTATATTAAAACACTGTATATATTCATTCACCATCATTTAATTAATGTTGGATCCCGATTAGTGTCATGCGACTCTATTGTGAGACAATTTCCATGAATTATTGAGTATCTTCTGCAATTTTGAAAAGAAATCAATTGTGAGAAGTTTTTTTCAGATCCAATTTTTCCAGGACGAGCTTTATCATCCTTTATACACCTTTCTTTGGGTAAAGCTGGTCCATTTACTTTAGAAAGCCATATCAATGTTAAAGTTAAAGCCTTGAAAATGCAAGGATTCCCAAATGATTAGATGCATATTAAACCCTTCTTAAAAAACAGCGCCCAATTTTTCAAGCGGGTACCCCATGAGTGACCCAGATCCTCAGTAATATAATTGTTTCGATGGCACCCTATTGTGCACAAAAACTATTTTAGGGTGAAAAAACAAACACTAAACCTTTTATCCACCTTTCTTTGGGTAAAGCTGGTCCATTTACTTTAGAAAGCCATATCCATGTTAAAGCCTTGAAAATGCATGAAAATGCAAGGATTCAAAAGGATTCCCAAATAATTAGATGCCTTTTGAAACCCTTATTTGAAAACAGCACCCAAACATTTTTTCAAGGTGTTTGGATGGTACTCTATTGTGCACAACAACTTTTGGGGCATTTTTTTTGGATTTAAAAGGAACATCAATTGAAAGTAGATTCAAGTGAATTGAAAGTAAATTGGTTTCAATTGAAATCCTTTCTTATCAATAGATTTCTTTGAGGTTTAAAACGAAAATCACTTGAAAGTAGATTCAAATGAAATGAAAGTAAATTGATTTAAGTTGAACCCCCTTTCTTATCAATAGATTTTTGAGGTTTAAAAAGGAAAATCAATTGAAAGTAGATTCACATGAATTGAAAGTAAATTGATTTCAATTGAAATCCCTTTCTTATCAATAGATTTCTTTGAAGTTTAAAAGGAAAAACAATTGAACGTAGATTGATTTCAGTTGAAAGCCTTTCTTATCAATAGATTTCTTTGAGATTTGAAAGTAACAGCAATTGAAAGTAGATTGATGTCAATTGAAATCCTTACTCAAGTTGAACATCCTGAATCCCCCAGGACTGGGTCCCAAGAAAATGCCGAGTTATTGAGTAGCCTAAAATTGTTGGGGGGGCCCTACACTAATCAGTATCCAACATTATTGCGCATGAGGGTTATCGTGTAGAAAAAAAACATATCTCTAGTTCTTATTACACAACTTAAGGATATATTGTACAACTTAAGAAAACTCAGGCAGGACATGGACTTTGGAACTCTTGGAGTGTGCACTGCAGAGTGGCAATGAAGCACTGCATTTTCGTGAGGCTTAAAAAAGACTCCCAACATCATACAAATATAGAACTTCTCCAGTTGGGTCGCGGTGGGCTCAGCAATTTCTTCTTGAGATTTCGCCCAAAGGTGTCAAAGGCTTCGTCTTCAGCTCGTTCCTTCAACTTTCTCCTCGCCACGGCCGCGGCGAAAATGTTGTGTTCTGTTGGTCACTGTCAAGGGGGCTCTGATTTAGCAACCCCTCAATTGGCCCCATGAAAACATCCTTTTTAATGGGTAGATCCACTATAACTAAATATTTTGATTATATATTTTGATTACCATCTGGTAAACTAACATAACTATGGAAAATCACCATGTTTAATGGGTAAATCCACTATAAATGGCCATTTTCAATAGCAAACTGTTGGTTTACCAGAGGGTAAATGCTCTCATGATTTCATGGTTGTTTTGCAAACTGTGACCACATGTGACCACGCTTCCGCGCCTCCATTCCCGCTGCAAACTTGGGAGCATCAACCGCTTGAAACCGTCTTCCATGGCAGTGCGGATTTCCATCTGGTAGGCACCATTCGCACGGCCTCAACTTGCAAGCACTCATACAAAGAGACCTAAATAATATGTTGCGAAGTCAAACAACAATGCACAGGAAGGCCTTTTTGAGGATACTGGCTCATCAACAAAAATCAACACTATCAAAAAAACATCAAAAGTGGATAGGCCAGCGCATACCAGTGCGGTTGTTAAATGTTCTTCAGATTCTTCAAAGACATATTTCAAAACAAATTGAAAGGAAGCTCCTTGCCCTGGATTCTCTTTTTGTTAGACGGGCTAGTCAATATCAGTCATCTTCCATCTGCCTGAACATATCGCATCCCGAAATCCCATGGTGAATCACAATCTATGTGGCCGATAAATTGGTTGCTTATAGAGACACATCGATCACCATCGATCCCCCCATGTTTGTTGATTATGCTGAAGCAAGAAAACGAGTTGGTAACTATTGGGATTCCTATGGACCATTGCAAATAATGGCATTAAGAGAAACATTAAGGAAATAAACATAGATAATCATAGGGACATCATTGACATCATCTATCCACTGCAGGATTATCTTCCATCCATAGGAGCACCCCCCTCAGGTACTTCCAACGACCGCACCGCCGTGCTGCGCGCTCTTGGAGGGAGACCAGCCCTCAAAGGGGTCGGCGCATCCACCAGCGATGAATTCGGTCGCGGGGGCGGCTTCCCCAGGAAGACAGCGATCAGCTGGTCGATGAGATGCTGGGTGTCATCCTTGGATTTTTTTCGTGGTCATTTCGTGGGTTCCGCGCTTCCGGAGTTGTTTGAAAGCAAATAAAATCATGAGAAAGATCTCTGAGAAAAAGAGTTGCTATAGTAATTTCAACATCGCAAATATCGCACATCTATCATTTGCACATATCTACAGCAGGATGTACATGCAAAGATATGCAAAAGGTATCCAAAAGTATCAAAGTAAGGCCATACCGTCAGGATGGTGGCCCGAACATCTGTAACATCAATAGACTATATCATTGGTGTGGCTAGAAATAGGAAGTACCCAAACCTTAAAAACAAAAACATCTTAAATGTTGATGATATGTGAGAAAAAACATGGTAAAATCACTGTCTTTTTAAGGGTTTTCTTCACATTTTCCCAGGATTTTCAACCCCAGCTGTGGATTCTTCTCCCAGGCCATGCTTCCGAGGACACCAGGAAGCCAAGGCTTAAGCACTTGGCGGCTTCACCTCGTTGCATCGCCAGAAACCTCGGTTGCGTTTTCTGAAAAGAATACGGGGATATCATGGATGAATTGGGATATATACTGTGCATATATAGTGCATAGAATATACATACTCAAAAAAAAATCCAACATGCATATACAGTAATCAGCATCTATACACGATATATATGATATGATATTATATTATATTATACTATATTATATTATTCTATATTAAATTAAATTAAATTATAATATATTATTTTTTATTATATTATATTATGTATATTATACTATATTATATTATTCTATATTAAATTAAATTAAATTATAATATATTATTTTTTATTATATTATATTATGTATATTATATTATATTATATTATATTACATTATATTATATATATATATATATATATATTATGTATAGAATTGACACACACAATACGCATATGTACTGTAGATGTATATATTCAAATCATGTAGCCATATGATGATAATTAAGGTTTTTGTCTCAACATAGCACATATCCATACATATCCCCCAATAATGGATGCCCCAACATGGATCAACATGGCCGTTTGAATGCGAAACATGACAAATGACAAGCCTGGAGGATGTTGGCGTTCCAAATTTTGAGGCAAACCCATTTAAAGTCAGTCTGCCGTCTGCCAACTGATTTTTTTTTTCGCACAGCACAACGTTCAGAACGCAATAAGTTACATAAGCAGCAACCAATTCACAACTGGTTTGATTCCTCACTTGAAAATGTTAGTCGCTGACTTGATGTATATCCGTGATACTGCTGCGACTGAGACTTGCCGGGAAGGTTGCTTAAATGCAGTCCCATGCAGCCAAGACTCTATCCACAATCTACACCCCTTGAACTTCAATAATGTCCCCCCCCAAAAAAACACACATAAAAAAAAACAGGGAAACCAAACAACTAAATCATTTTCCAACCCCAGCTTCGATCTTTTCAGATCCTTTCAGCTTCGTTGCAGAATGGTTGCACCGGAATCCCGGTTCAACTACGTGCCACCCTTTCAGGTGATCTTTTTGAAAATCGCTCCCATCCAATAGTTGTTGGTTTTAATCGATGTGAATTATATTCCCTGTATGGGCTAGTAGACGTTGTAGAGTTCATAATCAACATGGAGCACGTTATCTCCCAATTCCAATTGTGTTTGTTACTTTGTTCTTTATCCATCTTTATCCCAAGTGTTGGTTGCTATATAAATCAGTTAAGCAAGATATAACCAGATATTTGATGCGTTGTCCTTTATCCTAAGTCTTAAATCAGTTTTAAAACGATATTGGGGTTTGTCTGAAAATAGGCGATCCCACCAAATTAGCATGCTCATGCATCTTGATAAGGAAAACATATGGGAAAACGGGGTTGTAATCCATTGGCATTGGGAGTAGCATATTTTCAGACGAACCCATTTGATGGTCCATTTCTCAATTCATAACCATCCAACCAACGGTTGCCATTTCGCCCAGTGGCTGATACGGCTTAACCTGGTGCACGGGAGCATCAAATTCCTTGGAGCAGGTCAGCCCTAGCAGTTTTTAGGTGGGCTTGAAAACAAATAACAAGGCAAATAATATATACTTAACACAAACGCCAAATAATATATATTTAATTAATTAATATATATATATATATCAAATTCGTACTTTTTCTTGTTTTTGAAAGGTACTGATGCCTGAAGTACTAGTATTCTCTTTTGGCGAAAGGACAGCGAAATGCAGAATCAGCAAGCCGCGCACACTGGTTGACTTGAGCCAAAGGTTTGGCAAGTCTCGCAATCACTGCTAGCAATGCACTTGTAAATTCAAATGTTGCAGTCACCACTTAGGTGAGCTAGCCAGTAGTTGGCACCTCGGTGGAAGACAAGGGACAGAGTTTCTGTCTCTACATGCTCTGTCACAATGCCACCCTCTATACTATGCTGTGCGAAACGTCCCCCCGTTGGTAATTTGATGCCACAAGATCCACTTTGCAGCCAATGCGGGTCGCCCGGCCCGATCCGCGTAGGCAGCATTGCAAGATGGCGAAAATTACCAATAAGGAGAACACAGCAGATTACTGCACATGCAAGTGGATAAAAAGAAATGGTGAGACGCAAAACTCTCAGTAGCTGCAAAAGTCAGTAAAAGGACAGCCGCTGCCAGAGCGATGCTTGAGCTTGAAGAGCACCAAGTAAGAAGTAAAAACTCCTAAGGCCAGCGGCCAGTGGGTGAGTCCGCGCAAGCGCGAGGCAAACACCTTTTCGTTCCTTAAGAACCAAAACTACTACGTAACTGGTTTCCATGGTGATTTGCGCAAGTGCACACATTGCGGCCACTATATGATCCGCGCAAGCGCTGGTATCGCGCGCAGTGATTAGGAAACGCGTTTTAGCTACAAGGTCTCTTCCTGTCTTGTCGTTTGTAAGGTCGCCACTTGGTAGGGCCCCGACAAAACTAAGCTTGTGACGGTTCCAGTTCATGGCAAGGCTCCAAACATTGTTGAAGTCCAATGGATTGTGGGTCAAACTTACCGGGGGTGAGTGATTTGGTGAAAATATCTCCCAATTGCTCCAATGTGGGGGTTTGTTGCAGCTTACACTATGTAGTACAAGCCTCATTCAAGGATGCTAAAGATATTTTTGGGGTTCTAGCGAGATGGCGCAATTTGATGGAATACCCTTTCCTTATCGCTTGGACTACCGCTGAATTATCTTCCCTCACAACGGCCCTGGGGGTATTGTCGTCAAACAAAGTTTGAAGCAACATCAACGCTGGGGATAACTCTTCATAGACTCCCTCGCTAAGCGCGTTGAGCTCCGCATCAGCGGTGCTTCGTGCGACATGCTGCTGCCTTCTTGATGACCATGCAATCGGAGCAAATGTGCCTGCTGGTCCCCTGATAACTAAGAACAGTCCGGATGTAGACTTAGCGCTAAAAGGACAGCCTCCTAGATCCGCATCTACAAAGAGGTCCAGAGTACATTGAGAAGGGTCATCAAAAACTCTTGACACCAGACACAAATCCCTTGTTGAGTGGAGGTACGAAACAAGACGATACAGCTGCTTGTCTGAATTCTTGCTCCAACGGGTCACCTGGGTAGCTAATGAACTGATGGAATATGCCAAATCCGGCCGGGCCAGTTGGCAAAGCCATAGCAACTTCATCAGGACACTGGAAGCCTTGTGTGAGATTTGTCCTTCAACCTCATAGTCAGCTTGCGTCAACATGCCCTCGTTGACATACGGAGTACTAACCTTTCTGAAATTCACATGGCCCCCCGCAGCCTCAACGTACAGGTCAATGGCTTGCTGACAGTAGTCTACCATGTTGAACACACACATATGGTCATGCAATTCATGATTACGCCCTATGAACTGATTGAGGACTTCGACATCATCCAGTTGGATGTGGCTTTTTAAAGACTTCCAGAGTTGTTCTTGATGCTGCTCTGGTCCTGCAACAAGAACATCGTCCACATATACTACTACTAAAAGTTTCGAATGCGGACAGTAAAACACGCTAGGGTGACCCTCTACTGGCAGCAGACCCAAATCCCCCAAAAGCACCTGTCTCAAATGAAGATCCCAGCAAGCAGAAGCAAGGGGGTGGCCATACAAGGCCTTTTTGAGCAGCACCGTTGGTTGCCGAAACCTCCCAACCAAAGAGGGGAGCCACAACTCAGGAGGGAGCACTACGTATGTCTCCTCCTCCATGAGGAGCATTGCCTGAAGAAATGCGCGTGTGCAATCGGCAGCTCGCAGCACGTTGCCCGCAAGGAGACCGTAGTAGATTGCTAAATTTATAGCTTGAATGTTGGTGGGTGTGCTGAACATGGCACCAAATTGCGCAGCCCCACCCCATGAATCGCGAACCTGATCTCCTCGGAAAACAAGCCTACCTTTATATTTCCGTTTTGATGGAGTTTCCCAAAATTTGATACTTGCAATGGGCATGACATCAGCGATGTGAATGACCTTGTTTTGTTCTTGGGCCTGAGCAAGCCTGTCGGCCTTTTCCATTACTGAGGTGTCGTCCCAGACTTGCTTCTCCCGTACACCTTGACCTTCTTCCCAGATGGCTTTTAAGGCCAAGGGGTCGGCTTTCATCTCTTCTCGTGTCAAGAGCTTGTGGATAGCTCCCATGACACAAAGTTCTTGAGTGTGAAAATCATGTAGCCTAGCCCTATGGGGATCAAGTTTGAAAGGCAAAACAGGCATAGCAGGGATCTTATCCACTAAAGCACCAGGAAACAAAGTAGACAAGATACTTGTGGCCATCGTGATGTTGTACATAAATGATGGTTTGGTGGGGGAACCTTCAGGACTATCATGGCAACCCTTTTCATGTCTACAAACCTTGGTTGAGAACTCCTTCAAAAGCCGTGGGCTATCTGTCTGAATCAACCATGGTGTTTGGGGGAATTTCCCTTTAACGCGTGGGCCAAAGGCACAGCCGTCAACAAGGACAGGTTGGAGCTGCAATCTCTCAATGACTGAGATCACACGTGGCTCAGTCCAGCCCTCTGAATCCCTGCTCCATGCAAAAGAGACCGAACCCCCTTTGGAAAGCTTCACCAATTCAGCCACTTGCTCAAACCTTTCAATCATGCCTAAGGAATGAGTCCTATGGGTTTCCAATTTCTTTTCATGGCTTTCACCATACTTGTGCATTGCCATTCTGTTCCAAGGTAACCAAGCTGTTGATGACAAAGAACCCCAAAGGTGAACAGGACCTTCTCCTACTTGTATTTCGTCTTGGACCCAAAGTAAGAGTTGTTGGAAATACTCATCATTTTCAACATCCAACAAATCCCTGGTTACCCCGAGATACGAAATGTCCAACACATTGGCAACTTTGGAGATGGGTGAACCTTCTTGACAACCAAATTCGATAAAAAGTCCTACGTTCTTTCGCTTACTTTTTGTGACGGCCACACCCCCCGGGACTGGCTGCAATTCACCAATCTCGTCCATGTCATCAATGAACCCAGATTCCGCGGAACTAAGAACACTCACAACATCATCATCATCATCATTATCATCCAGTGGGGTTGTGGGAGCTGGACCCGAACTTTCTGAGACATCCGATCTAGGTGGGCACACTGGCACTAAGTCCTCTTCAAGGAGATTCCGAAGTTCATCACGAATGTCAAACATGATTTGCTCACCAAATTGTTGATCCCTGTCAATTTCAATGTCTCTGCCCTCGCAATTCCCGTCCCCATCAACTGTCCCCCCCCCAGGCTGCTCAGCGAGAGGTTCAGATTCATTCAGAAGTTTGTTGAAGCGGCCTCTACAATCAAGAGAATGTGAGTAAGTACCCCGCAAACATCCATCACAGAATTCCGTGGGACCATAGTGAATGATTCGGCGTTTGGTTATGGACCGGTTCCGGGGGCCCGCAGTGGGATCTTCGTCCTCTACGTCATCTGGAGCTGGAGGCTGAGACAGGTCGGGTGTGATGGGTTTCAACATGGGAACATGGGTGAGGGGAAACAACCATTTTCCAGTGGGCAAAACAAAATCCTTGGCGATGATGGTCTTAAACCTACCACTACCAGTAAGTTCGGCCAGATCATACAAAATGTGAACATCCTTACAGCGAAGGCCTGGGAGGACCTCAGGGCCAACATAAACAGCGGGGATTCCATTTGGCTTGAAAGATTTGGGGCGCGTGGGATCACGGTACCAAACGCATGCACCAAAAGGAACCATTCGAATTTCGGGCTGATAGGTCAAGGCCAAATGAAGTTTACTTTCCCAACTTAGTAGGTTACCGCCTACGGCATCCTCATCGGTGCCAGCAGGTGCAGCAGAATCCACAACACCAACCCCCTCTGAAGTCAATTCTTGAACCATTTGGTGGGACAATTCACGGATCCCCCCGCGTTCCAAGTTCGGAGCAGTGGTGCAATCATACTGAAAGGCAAATGTCTGCATTGCTCGTGGCCATGCAGAAATTGGCAACCCACTCTGTAACAAAAGGGTGCGAGTGCCCTGCCTAACGATTCGAATTCCCGCTTCAGCGGATGAGTTATGCAATACATCGTTTGGTATTGAAGGTTCAATGGGGAAATTCAAATGTTTTAGAGCCGCAAGCAAGGAAGGATACCGGTCCGTGTGAACAATGGGTTTCTCCCCCCTTGCGAAATGGACCAAAGCTCGCTCAACTGCTGTTTGGGACTTAGATGACGCTGGATACGCAAACAAGGCACCTGAATAAAGGTCCACGCAGATCAAAGCGTAGAGCTCACCATTGGATCCCTCTTCGGTAGACTCCAAGTGGTCAATGGCAATCGCCTGCAGGAAGGCTTTTGGAGCCTCGATGGCCTGCGCAATCCGTTGGGCTTCAGCCTGGTTCTTAAAGCGCCTATGGGCGTGGGCTCTCAACTTGGCCTGTCGACAAACATCACAGGCAGGGTGTGCAGGTTGGTGTGTCAACAAGTGATCAACTGGAATCTTGGGTTGCCTAGCTAAAGCCTTGGGCTCTTCGCTTAGAATCTCTGGTTGTGAAGGTCTCACATTAGAATCTTTGGATTCACGCAGCTCATTTCCATGTGGGCCCTCTGAAAATGGGTGCGCTAATGCAGACTCATCAGACATGGCGATCATTGGTTCAGGAGACACATGCCCTTCAAAAACATCATCAACCGGAGGCGCTTCTGCGCATGGCGCACGTAAGCTTTCTTCAAGAATATCATGGGAATGGACAGCGGGCATGCCGTGTGTAAAAGAAATTGTTTCTTTGAACACAGGTACACAATGATCTACACGGTCAGCTTGGTGACAAAGTGAAGAATCACAAGACACTTCAAAAGGAACTTCAGGTGGGACTAAAGTGGGTGCGTGAGAAGGACCCCAAAAGAAACAAAACCCTTTTTCAACCAACTTTCCAAGACTTTTCACATATGGACAAGATTTCAACATATAAGTCAAGCCTTCTCCCGCCTTGTCCCCTGAAACCCCAATAGTGTTGGTGGCAGCCTTTGGGCCACCGCCAGTTTCAAATGTCAGTGGGACATTGGATACCGTTTCAAAACCCTTGACCCAATCCTCCGGAACCCCCTGATTGCAGAAGGCACGGAGCGATGCAAGATCTTCGCCAGCCCCAGAATCGAGTGCCCACTCAACTTCAAAGTTGCGGGACTCGGGCACATGCGTGCTAGAAACTCCTGCCGCTGTGCCAAGGACAACCATTGCCACCATGGCAGCCTTTGAAGGCTGCGCTTTGGGTGCAGCTGTTGCAGCTGATGTAGCCTTTGCTTTTGGAGCAGTGGCAGATCCTGTTGATCCTGATGACGGTGAACCCTGATGCTTGTATGGGCAGTCGGCTCCTCTCCTACACAACCCTTTCGGGAAGAATATGCAAACACCTTCCTTGGATGAGGTCGGGTGACCAGATTTCTCGTTTGATTTTCCTTTTTCATCTTGTTTTCTTGAATCCGAGTTTTGGGAGTTGCCTTTTGATTTGGCTTGGTTCTTCCCCCCTTTTCCTTTTCCTTTGGATTTCCCTTTCTGAGCGTCACCTGAAGGAGAACCTCCCTTTCCCTTGCCCCCCATCTTTGCAAGAGGCTGGTCTGGAGAGGGGCCCCCAGGCAAACCAAATTTCTTGGGTCCCTTTTTCAAACCTTCTTGAATCGATGCCAAATTCTTTTCATGTTGGGATTCAGTTATAACCCTTTGCAAGCGTGTCCACAAATAGTCATATGTTCTTTCCACACTACCAGTTTTTGACTCACGGATGCGATCAATAGTCAACTGCAAAGGTCGGACCTTTTTCAATCTTTCGTACAAAAATTTTGCCAAAAGATTATCACCAGGCCTTTCATTGATTGGAAGCTGCCCCATGATAAACTGAACCTTATCCCTGAAAGCAACCAAAGATTGGAGGTCTGATTCTGGTGCTTGGAGTTGGAACAGCTCTACAAAGGACACAACACTTCCGAGAGCAGAGTCCAAATCAAACTCTCGAATGACGAGGTTCAACAAGGGCCGCCCTCGAAGACTGATTCCATTTGACATCATTTCTTCTAAGTGTGCTTGAATCCTAATACCAAAATGCCCCTTTAAACAAGAATCACGTGTGAACCATGAGCACAAAACCCTGTCAAACCGTGGGAAACCTTCACTCTCATGACGAAGGTGTTGAATCTCAGCAGGTGTTTTAGCATTGAAAGCAACCATCAACCACTGATATAAATGCCCCTCCCCAGAACTATCCAAAGCGATCAACGTGGGAAGAAACGCGTTCTTCCAAGTCCTGAGGGCGCCAGCCGATTCCGGCAGTGCCAGCATTCGAATGGACGACACGTCCTTCCATCTAAGGCAAGCGTCTTTCAAAGTGGTAACAGAAGCATCCTGCTCATTGCCTGAACCCTGATCGACCCTAGGCTGGACAGGTGGTCGTTGGACTCTGGCCGGAGAGACAGGTTGAGAGGTGGCCTGGAAACCAGGAACCAGCTCCTCATCAGTGTCATGTTCGGGAACGTGTTCATTAATTTCCCAGGTTTCAAGCGCTAACACTCTCTGCCAAATGGTAGCAAGATCCTTCTCAAAGGTGGTCATTCTTTCTAACATCTGGGACTCAAAGGAAGTCATACGCTGAATTAACTGGTCAATTTTGTTGTTCAAATCCGTGCCATTGGGGCTCATTTGGTCTCGAATGTCCATACTACCAGCAACAAGTGAACGCAAGCGATAAATTTCATCCAACAAACCCTTCTCCCGCGATTCAAATTCAAGTCGCATGGATGCCACGGCCTCAGTGGCCTGTGCCTGAGTCGTCAAAACAGCTCTCTCTGCCTCAGAACGGAGGGAACTCTCCCTCTGAGCAGCTTGTGCCTGAGTGGTTAGGAGCGCCCTTTCGGCCTCTGCCTGAGTCGTCAGGACAACCCTTTCAGCCTCAGATCTCAGAGAACTTTCCCTCTGCGCAGCCTGGGCCTGAGTGGTCAAAACAACCCTTTCTGCCTCGGTGCGCATTGAACTCTCTCTCTGCTGTGCTTCAACGACTGCTGCTGCAGCTTGATTGATGATCTCTGCATTGGGAGATGGTGCAATATACACTTGGTTCAACTGCTGATATTTTGCTCCAGTCTGCTGTGCGTCTGCGTTTAATTCTTCATCTGACTGTTGGTTGCTAGACCCTTGAAACCTATTGCCATGAACCTTAGACAGAACACTCGCGGAACGATCGCTTAGCGCGCGCGCTGACGCGGACCTCCTATCCTTCACAATTCCCTTTCGTGGTGTCCCAACTGATCTAACCGATGAAGATCGAGAACCTGACAATGAATTCATGGCTCTCCCTGGTGCTCCCATGGCTACATCCATACCGGAGGATGCAGACAAGTTCAATGAAGACGACCCTCCACTCATTACTGACGAGGATCAACCAATCAAAAGGTGGAGTCGGCAGTTGGAATCCCAAAGAACGGTCGCGCGTACACCTTCGGGGTCACAAGTCGCTGAATTTCTCCAAGATACTGTGCAACTGATGCTGCGTCAGGGACACGGCGAAACCCACCACGGTTGGTGAACAAATATGCGTGCAACCCACGATCAATACAACCCTCAAGGATTTCCAGTTTGTCGTCTAAATGAGAGGACACAATGTCTGGAGAAAGCAACCGTTTCAAGCAATCGTCTGTGATGGTCAATTGAACCTGCTGTGCTTCTGGAACGCCACTAGCAATCAACTGCCTATTGAGATGAAGGACAGCTTGCAACACTTGCTGTCGATGCTCACGAGACTTACGTCCGTGTCGCCCTATGAAGCTACAGACCCCAATTTTATGAGTCGAACTTTGCTTCAAGAAGCTCTCAATCTCGCGGCGATGACAATCTCTTATTCCACCAAGTACTCGGGAGTTTGGGGTTTCTACGTCCAATACCCGGTGAAAATCCAAACAAACCCTGAGTTCAACCCTTTCAACGGGAACAGCCCTCAAAAGTGTTCCTAAACTTACTGAAGAGTTGGGAGAAGGGGCCAACCTAGAAGGCACAGGTGCAGGACCAGATTCCCTAGACCACAGTTCTGGAGTGTTAGAAACAGAAAACGATCTCTTTGCGACCCTGGCAACTGTTGTGGTACCCTTCGGAACACCCTTGATTTCTGCAGCTTCCCCAAGCACAACAGCAGAAGAAGCTCTGGAAAGATTCAACCCTTGTGAAATGCCAATTTCCTTTTTCGAGGGAACTTGTGGCGGGCGCAGTTCACCGCTTGGACTGGGCTCAGCTTTCGGTGGAAGGGATTTTGAGTAAACAGAATTGTCTGGCAAAAAGGTAGAAACAATCTTTGGCTTATCCGAAGAAGAACCACTACCAGAAACAACTTCAACAGCCTCAACCGAATCACAACACAGCTGTCTTTTGGAATCAACACCACCGGGAACTTTTAGTTTGGGATTGAACACCTTGGGGACGTACTTTCCTTCCTCAACTTTCTTCTGGAGGGCCTTTTGCTTCTTGACACGTCTACCCCCCCTTTCCCCTCTGAACTTTTCTTTCGGTGGGGGAGGTGGGTCAACGCTAGGCATACAAGATGCAGCCAAACCTTCCTAGAAAGAAGCGCAGAGCAGCGGACGATGTCAAGGAAGATCAAAGAAACAGAAGTAAAGTGCCAGAAGCAACGATGAAGGAGCACACCCTTGCAACGCCAGCAGCACAAAGCGACAGAGCAATGCGGCTGATAACCGCGAAATGCAGAATCAGCAAGCCGCGCACACTGGTTGACTTGAGCCAAAGGTTTGGCAAGTCTCGCAATCACTGCTAGCAATGCACTTGTAAATTCAAATGTTGCAGTCACCACTTAGGTGAGCTAGCCAGTAGTTGGCACCTCGGTGGAAGACAAGGGACAGAGTTTCTGTCTCTACATGCTCTGTCACAATGCCACCCTCTATACTATGCTGTGCGAAACGTGACACCAATATAAAAAAACATATAAAAACAAATGGTGGGTCAAATATAGCATGAGGGTCCCACATTCAAGCTGTTTGGATTCGCCTGTTTTGAGAACCATGTCTCGGAGAGCCCTTGATCTCTACTTGGAAAAAGGGCTATGATATCACCCACACACACAATCACATGATGCAAAAAGGTGACGCCCACTCGAGGCTGGAGGATAATTAGTGATGAGAATAGTTGTGATGATGACGATGATGCTCGCTATCATGGTGATAGTGATGATGATGATGATGATGATGGTGATGATGATGTTGATGATGATGATGATGGTGATGATAATGATGATGATGAAGAAGATGATGTTGATGGTGACGCCAATGATTAACTGCTTGTATGTCGCAAATTGTTGCGGTACGTGGTGCAAACACACTCCTCCGCGCTGACAAATCGGGGTTTGAGACCTGAAATCAGCAAGAATTAGGATGACTTCCTCAAACCTAGGAAATGATGCATAGGTCCGATTTGAAAAAATGATTGTTAATTGATTGTATATATATATAATTATGATGATTCCTTCAATAATTCAAAAGATTTCCCCAATCTGAAGCATCATTCATGAGGCTTGGTCGGCCAATGAGATTGACAAGGCTCCCAGTAGGTTTTGAAGCGCTGTTCCTCTTGAGCGTCTCCACCGGAACGACGTCGAGATGTGAGGGTCACCCGCTTTTGGAGCATGTCGCGTGCCTCGCTCGGGGAAATTAAAACCTTAGATTAGGTTCCCTAGATGGCCTCTCGCGAAATGAATTATTGCAAGCCAATTGGGGCCCCTATCAGAGAGCCATGTGCTGCAAAGTGAACCAAAGCTGGAAATGACAGAATTAGAGAATCACTCTTTTCCAAGAGCACAATGCGTGAATGCACATAGCTGATGATGCCATTGAATTGAACACACGCCTGGCAACATGTGCAATACTGCACGAAGGCTGCTGCGCAATTTCATGTGTCCGGTAATTGAAGCCACCCTGCAAAAACTGGACCATAAATGTGACTGAACAGCCCCCTCTGATTGAAGGATGCTCGTGGAATCTCCCGGAAGCCACATCAACTGCTGGGCCACTTGGGCCACTTTCCAACCATGTGACTTCATCCCATCTTTTCATGCTTGGGCCCTAAGCAAACACATCCATATTCAATTTTTCTGCAGGTGAAAGGTGTACCAGTAATTTTCATGAACATCATATGATGTTTTCCCTAAATATCCGTATGTTTGCCCGTAAATGTCCTCATGTTATTAATTTATCATGTCTTTTTCCAGAAATCTCCATATTTGGGGGTTTCCTAAGCCATAGGGGTACCCCCAATCATCCAAAATCAGACCACTTTAGTATTGAAACCCATGGTGACTTGGGGTACCACCATTGTAGGAAACCCCCAGGGCTCTTTCTCCAGACATTTCCGAGGTGCCACTTGACGCAGATCGGGTCGATGAGCCAACTGCTCTGCCTGGGATGGGAAACCAATGGAACGGCAGAGATCTTTTTCTTTGGAAGTCAAAATTAAACGATTTGTAAGCAATGAAACGTATGTGTAGATGTGAATTTAAGGGGTCAAGAATGTGTGGAAACCACAGATGGAAAATGATGGAAACCTTGTATATAGACTTGTAGGTATGGATTTACATTGCCAAATGTGCGGGGAAATGGGGTAAAGCTTGTAAGTTTTACCTTGGACCACTTCAGTGAACTCAAACATGGAAATGGACAATTTCTCCCAACAACCAAATGCCGCATCTGTGTCCCCAAAAAACAAGCGCATTGGAAATTGATATACCACAAGGATCCACAAGGGAAGGAACAGCCAACAAGGCCCCAAGCGGATCCAAGGTACCAGAATGTCTCGCGCCGCTGCCAGCGCGGTGGCCACATCTGGAACCTGATATCCAATCTCATAACGATTCTAAGGTGACCTTAAGGTACAATTTCCAGGTGTGTAATTAGAATAACCCCACCATAGTATCTATCGTTATAGCATGTTATAACTACCATTAACCATGGCTAACCTAGTTGCAAACCAACTTAACTGACTAGTGTGTGGGGCCCCACATTGTAGTATAATTATCAAGGCTAAAACAATGGGAAAACACGGGTAAACACATTGAAAAATGATCGTTGAAAAAACATGAACATGGTAACGATTTGGTAAAAGTATTGTGAAATTTACATGATATACCGTACATACCATAGTAGTTCAAGTGGCAAGGGTAGGATGACTGATTGGTGCAATTTGCTTACTAGCTGCTTACTATCTTCACTGAAAAAAAGACGGCAGCAAGCATCTTGATCTGTGGTGAGGTAGCTGTATCAATGCAAGTGCATGCGTCTGATTCATGTAAGAAAAACACTAATATCGGTCCTTACTCCAGTATTCTGATACAGGCATTTCTTGATGACTTAGCAAGGGGTCATGTAAGGATCATGGCCATATGTTGCCATGAAAACAACTAACAATATGTGCGCCATGTTTAACTATTGGTTAATACATAGAGGGAAAATGGGCTGTTGCAATGGCGATATGTAAGTGACCATCAGTCATTAAAAGGCTCCTCATAATTTTTGATTCAAGAGACTTCCAATTTGCTGTTGCTTGAGCTATCAGAAGTCAACAATTGAAACCAACTTTTTTTATTGCTGGCTATATCCCTGACCGATGACGGCTACATAATCCAGATTATCTGTATGTGTTGTGTTGTTAATTAAAATAACACCTGTGCCATGGTCAAGACATGGTATATCTACTGTACATATTAATCTACGGGCTACGTAGACTGGTCATCGATCTTTTTATCGTAGCAACGCCTTCTACGTTATGAATCCCTTCCCCCCTATGAATCGAAACATTCTCCCTTGGAAAATACCATCTGGTTATGACTAACATAGCCATGGTATAGATAACCCATAGAAATAGATGGTTTACCTATTAAAAATGGTGATTTCCCATGGCTATGTTAAATAACCAGATGGTAACGGTTCGGGTTCCAAATTCTGGAATTTGGATTGCGTTGATGACTGGTTCTTCAATTATGAAAAAGGCCCTTTCAAAATACATAGACTATGTACATCTAACCTTTCAGCCTATGTAGTTTTGAACAATAACAATCAAAACATATCAAAACCCATGGCATTATGGTGGTTTTGTTGCTATCTTTTTCCCCTAGCGATTAGCTTATATACTTTAATGAATTAGGAAACCCATTGAAATCCAATGTTTGCAATATTTGAGTAGAGTGTAGACGGATTTGAATGTGTCCTCGAAAGCGACATTGTTCAAAACAATTAGCTTTGTTCATCTATGTTTGCCCTTCGAAATCAATTTTGTAATGTTATTTTGAAAAGTCAATTCGACATATTTTGAACCTGAAACCAAGCAACGTCTTTGCCGATGAACTGCGCTGCCGCCTCCATGGGAGGCAGCTCCGCCGCTGCTGCTAGTTGCGCCGCTGGCGCTGGCGGCGCTGGCGGCGCTGGCGGCGCTGGTGCTTCCGCAGGCGGCAGCTCCGCGCCGTCGTTGCAAAGGTCGATCACGGGGACGGAAACAACGGGGACGGGTGCGACACCGGTGACTTCGCCTCGCAGCCGATATAGAGACCTGTAAAGGTAGTTGGCTGAATGGCTTACTTATGATCTATCATCATATAAACCATTCCCCCAAATACTAAACACCTCCCAGAAACCATGGTTTAGTAAGGGATTTACACTTACGTACACCTATACGGGGACCATTTAGGGGGTGTTTGATATTAGGGGCATGAGATTAATTTCTATGCTGCCGCTATGCCTGGCAAATATTTTCCTCAACCAACAGCAAGCAAAAATCTGGGATTAAAAAAGAAAATAAATATAAATCAACGGTGGTTGTTGGAATGCTGTCGGATCAGGAACTTATTTTGGTTTGTTAAATCCGAGATTATTTTCGGCAGAGGGGTGGCTCAAGAATACATCGGCTTTATTGGTACTCTGACAAAGTTGAGCCAAAACTAACCCGGAGGAGCTTGCAATATGTCTGGATATCACATGAAGAGATGCCCAAAAAATCAAAACGGGATCAAAAAAGAAGCTGCTAGTCGTCACTGGCACTTCTCCGTCCAAGCAAAGCCAAGGCACCCTTGGCGCATTCTTCCAGAAACGCTGCCTAGATGCAGACCATCGATGGCTGAATGTGGCAGGCAAAATCATCCACTCTTCAGCGTACTATGGAAACCTCTGATGACCATGCTTCTATCGTTACCCTCAAATCATCATAGACTCTGAAATCAATCTAATTTGAAACAGGAACATGTTCTTCCAAGTCGTGTTTGTTTCCGTTTTTGGGGCTCAAACCATGGTTGACTTCGATTGAACATTACCAACATGTTTCGGCCTAGTGGGTCTTGACAATCTTGACCCAGGCATTCCCAAATCATCCATGTTAGTGGTATATATATATAATATTATATCATATTATATACATATATATAGAGCTAGCTGCATTTACTCCAATAATCACCGATCCAATTATCGATGTGCATTCATGCTGGAAAATAGACGACGCATGATCACCAAGTAGGCTGTATGATTGTCGTCTACAAAACATGTTTTGAAGGGAACATCTACAAAAATCATTTGCCTTCTGGCTGGGGAAAACACATTAAAAACGCTCACGATAGATTTCCCTGAAACAAGTATCAGCAATCAATCCAACATACTCAAATGTCCAACACTTACTTGGACGTAAAACACGGTATAACTTTACTTAAATTTTAAATCTAGGTCATTTCCTGCAGATTTTTGTTTCAAAAATCCTTCATCTGAGGATCTAAGGGTTCCAAGCCCTTTTCTTTAGCCATCTGTGCTCGGGTTTGGCGCTTGGCTTTGAAGGGCGCCCAAAGCTCTTCCACTTCCTCCATGGTTTCAGCCTGCCTGGGTCCACCATGCTTCAGCAACAACTGAAAATATGTGTGGGCACTATACTGTCTGATAATTAAACAGTTTGAGATTTAAAACTTAAGACATACATTTGCCAAGTTTCCGGAGGAAACACCAATTTCAATGGATTGGTTTAAGCGGGACAAAGAATCAGGAAACCGTGGTTCTGACCATCTTCCTGCACATTTCTGCTTAAACCAATTGTGCCAATCAGGGCTGAGTTGGGTGAAGGAGTCCCGAGGTTTCCTTTGGCAGGGTCAAGAGAAACTACAAGGATGCCCTGGGCACCTCACAGATCCTCACAGTCTAATAGTCATCCCACTTGCAATTTCAATTGTTCGGACTGTTCGGAGCTTAAACTGAAAATCATTGAACATCGAACCCCTTTATCAGCAAATTCCACATCAATTCACTTGTGGGACATCATGTTTCTCAAAATGGGGGGCCCTATTTAAATCCACTTGTTGGCTTCTTCAGAAGCGAAGCCATGTTGTTTGGGTGTCTGGCATTTTGAGAAATATCCACTGGAACCAGCATGGATTAAAGCATCAAGCCAATCAAACCCCGATAGAATGTTTGATACTTAACATGACCCGTCAACCTACCAATCACCAATCATGGCCACCATTTTCAATGATCAAAGCTCAATCTGCTGATCAACAAATCCACTGGTGTGGGCCCATTCTTACCTCAATTTTGGAGTTTGCCATTCTTGGTATTTCTTGGTGGTTTAACCCAATATAGATGTATAGATGCTTAAACCTCAAGTTTGAATTCCCGGACATGGATTAAGGCAAAACCGACAAGAAAACCCTAGATTTGGGATGGAACAAAGCCGGCTTTCCAACAGATTGGAAAGCACTAAAACCAATCGATCAATTCAACCGGTTTCATGTTCAACAAGGCCAACAAGGGATTCATTTGCATTCATTTCCATTTGTTCCATATATTTCAATATTAATCACCATCTGGTTATGACTAACAGTTTGCCATGGAAAAATGGGAACATCATCTATTTCTATGGGCCATCTATACCATGGCTATGTTAGTCATAACCAGAGGGTAATTCATTTGTTCACAAATGAACCGATCAACCAGTGATAACCGGTGCTCGATCAACCAACGTCGCCAAGTTGCAGCAAACTTTCCAGCACCTTTGGGGTGAGATTTCTGCCGCGGTTCAGCGCCACTGCCACCCGTCCACGCCTGGCGGTGGCAATTTGTTCAGCAAAAAACTTGGTAGCCTCTGGTCTCATCAAACATGGCAATCATTGAAAATCCTAGGTTATCCTAGGTTTTCATGAGGATTGAATGGGAAAACCATCCCAGAAAATACGACAACATGATGGATTTTTCTGTGGATTTCTTCATTGCCATGCTTGATGGAGGGTATCTCTGGCCCCAACGGAAAGTCCCAGGAAGTGCCTGCGGTAATCTCAAGATCATTTGAAAGCAACTTGCTATTTACACCCAAAGATCCAACAGGATATAGTAATATATATATATACAACTATTATAGTAATTTACTTTCATAATAGTTTATAATAGTTCAGAGTTCATAGATCATAGATATTCCAGGTATTTAACCAGGTATTCAATCCATTTCAGTCCCATTATCGAAGGCTCGCCATTGGAAGCGCCCAAACCGCCTCGCCATTTGGCGCGCCTCTTCTCCAAGTCTTTCACTCGACAGATCTCCCGCTCCACGCGTCGCAGGTCATCTTCAGACATGGAGCCCGTCTTCTCCTTGCGATACCTCGATGCCACCAAAACGTCCAGAAAAACTGGGCCACAATTTGTGGGACCACTGGAAAACCATGAATTTAAGTAATGATAATATATATACATAGATATACAGAGATGAAGGCGACTGACTTGTTGCTGGAAAATCAGCAAATCATATCCCGTGATGTTATTGTTGACGGGGAGTTGCCCAAAAACACCTGTTTGGCCACTGTATAGTAATATAGGAGGCTACCAATTGATGTGTGATCATCATTCACGTTAAAAGTTCAGACCATTTGCCGTAGATTGGGGCAAGGGAATGCCTCAGTGTAATAATATCCAATTCTCGGACAACCCATAAACCCATAGCATCATCTCATATTCTTGGTTCTATATCCCACTGTAGCCTGTAGCCCCTTTTATATCCTAACTCTTGATGGTTCCATCTCCATGTTCTTGATTCTAGTCCAGTAATTCAAATTCATTCCATTACATTACTGCAACTCCCAGTTACAATACTAAATCAAGCCATTTGTGCGCATATCTTAGCAGTCTACATTATGTGCGGCAATGACGTATCATATCAGGCCACCATAAACACCAGTCAAGTCATACTTAAGTCATACCCTTAACCGATTCCAATCGTTGGGTGTACCCTTTGGTAAACTTATCTCTCTCTCTCCATAGCCATCTCCAGGAGTCTAGCCTAAGGCTAAAAGCGAGCCAAGTCCAGTGACAAGAAGGAGCAGTTCAGCCAGCTAGCGTTGTTGCTAGCTGCTTCATGGCGCCACTTCATGCCACCGGCTTTTATGCATTTACCTAAATATTTGCCTATATATATATACCTATATATAATTGTCATGATTATGATTATGATTATTAATATTACCATTATCATTACTATTATTCTATACTATATATTCATTTATATTTACCTAGGTGATACCTTCCTTGGCAACGTTTTTTTTTTGTTTGGCCCAAAATCGCCCAGCTGCCTGGCGATAAAAGGCAACGTGCTTCCTTCCTGGAACAACTGCACCGCGCCCGCCACACAGCCGACCTCCAGCTGCAGCTGCTTCGCAATCCACGGAGCCAAGTTTCGAGAGATCTGAGAGGGACCACCCAGCAGCTTCTCCTTGGAGATGATTTGTAGTGAATTAGGCTGGAATCCATGTTCACCTTGAATTCATATCTATATGTGATTCTATGTGTGTCTGTAACATGCGTATCTGTATATATGACTGTCTATATATATATAATATATTTATATAATATGTGTGTGTGTGAAAAGAATCTCAGTGAAACCCAAATCAGCTCTCCATAACTGGGATGCATTGCAGAACCAACCGGCATTAGCTACCCCAAGCATGGGAGATCAATAACAAACAAATGGAAGTGAACCACATAATAGGACCTTGACAGGGACGCAACTGACGCAAGGATTGATGGTAAAAAATGCCTTTGATCAAGTGGAAGGATTCAGAGCGGCTTTCCTGGCAATACATCCAATATCACCCAATTCAAGTTTCAAGATCCAACTCAAATTGGGATTGATGGTTGCACTATAGTGAAAATTATATTGTACACATGATATCAACATTTAAATGAAAATCAATCTCAGTTCGACCCCAATTTTTCTGAGATTGGTTGGTTTATCTGCTCATCTGTTCAGTCGCTGAGAAGTCCATCGCTGAGAAGTCCATCCTTTTCAGTATATGGCGTTTGGAAATGAACACATCAAATAAGCGGATATAATTAAGATGAAACAGTTTTTCTGCAGAGATTCTCCAGCACTCCAAGTTTTTTTTGTCAGGGCTTCGCACTCCAAGTTAGAGTACGAGAACATATCTCACTCAACCGGCAGTTGGTAAGCATGGCCAGAACTTGCCTGCAAAATGTGGCCCCATACGGCCCATACCCATCTTCAAACCGCCAAGGCTTCAACGTCGGACGGATTGGGAGAGGCATTCTCAGAGCTGCCATCCCAGTCCTTCAAACTGCAGCATGACACCGATCCGGCCAGAAATTGCCATAAATCCAAGCAAACTGAGAGCAAAACATTTAGAATTTATCTATCCACATAGGTCCCAAAAATGACTCCAATAGCTTCCACCAGGGTCTCGTTGGGGCGTAAGATGGCGTAAGTAATGTTTTGTGGGATGTTAAGGGATTGTCCAGTTGCAGGCAGCCTGGCTTGGCATTTCTGATTTTGCCTGGTAGGTCCATGTAGGCTAAGTATGGTCAAATTGTCAGTCTTGCCCAGCTGCACTTTTTGTCGAATGCACAATGTTGAAGGATCCTCACAAAATTTCATGGCTATTGTTCACATGTATACCGTATACACCCGATTCTTCTCCGTCAAATAGCCAACTTGCGTAAATTTCCGTTCCTATAGCATTGTTGTTTATTCAGAACCTATGCCCTGACGTGAGAACTCTTACAAAAGGGATCTTGTGACTCTAAACCAAAGGAAATCACCCGTTGGAATCCTGGAATTGCAGGGGAAACGGACTTAAAAAGCACACAACAATGGTATATCCCATAGGATCCATGGTGCTGCTATATATGGTAACATTTACCATCAATATACCTCCTTTATGTTAGTGTATATATACCAGCACCATGGATCCTATGGCTATGGATGTATATGGAATATGTCGCATAGCAACCCTCGAGACGTTGAAAGAAAACTGTAACTGGTAGTGTCCTTGCAATTTCAAGACTAGCCTGGGATATTCTGCAAAAGGGCTTTTAGTCTGCTGAGAACTTTACCTCCTGCGCTAAGCAAAGAAATGACCACTTCATGGATCATTCACCAAGGTTTACATATGGTTTTGGAATGAACATGAATCAACCCTATGGTTGCATCGCCATTAAATGGCCTGTAAACCTCCAAGTTCCTCGCGAAGAAGCCCCAAATGGTTGACCATATTTTTGTTGGCCTATTAAGAAAAAAACACATTTATGGACCGGATCATTTCCTAGGGAAAACGGTGAACCTCATCTCTTGTGTGGCTGATCGCAGATGCCCTACCCAAGATGCATGCTTGAGTATGGACTCCCCCAAGTTTAAAAAACAATAACCGACCCATAGATAACCATGATAACGATAGATAACCCATCCAACTATCCCGCCAATGTTTACCCATCTCTCCTGCACTCTCTGCGCCTTCCTTTTCCCGTTCTGCTTGCCCGCCCGCTGCGCTGCCTTCTTTGCGGTGCGCTGCGCAAAGCGGCGCACCACGGGGCGCGCTGTGCGGGGTCGCTGGGGGCGGGCCTTAGCCTGGGGGCCGAGAGGAACAGCTGGGATTGTGATGGGCCAAGACCGGGCTAGATTAGAATGGTGTCACAGTAAGTGGGTTACCAGCATCAGCCAAAAATCAGCTCATCTATAACTTCAAATGGATTTGAATTTGGAGTTTCGACTCATTCTAAGGAATTTACACTGGAACTACTGCAGCGCCAAAACCCACCAAGCAGTCAAGCACCGCAAAAGTCCAGCCTTCCCCTTTGACTTTGCTTTCGCTTTGGCACGCGCTTTGCCTAGGATATCCAGAAGCCTCTTAAGGGGTATCAGCTTCTACTCAACTGACCTGAGGCTCAGATTGCGCTATTTTAGTTTGCATCATAACATGAAACATCATGAAACTGTGTCAGGGGATAAATGATTGCAAGAAGGTGATGTTCCAAGAAAGAAAAAAAACATTTAGACCACCAAACGTTTCAAACATTTTCAAACTTGTCTGAACCCTACACGAATACTCAGCTGGAGCTGAACTCTCCTTCTCTTTGTGTGCCGTGGTCACTCCCCCGCACCATGTCCAGCATCGAGCTACTCTTTGCCTTGCCCTTGACAGCGCCTTTCCGCTGCTTCCGCTGCTTCCGCTTTCGACTGCGTGGAACTTTGATCTGGCCCCCTGAATGACCAGCAATGCCGCGACAGGGGGATCAACCACCATTGATACCCTGAGTGGTGCTGGCAAAGGTCCTTGTACATCCTATAGATTTGGGCGACTTGCGGGTGAAATGCGTTGGCGTGCCATAAATATCCACAAACCATCTAAACTCAGGATGTTGAGGAAAACATGGAATGAACAGAAAGCACATGAATCTGGATAAATTATACTCAAGTATCATTCACTACTCATCTGAACTAAGGACATTTTGGGATAGTTGCCCAATGTTACTCAAAAATCCTCATGACCTGAGGTAGATTCGGTAGCGCCTGCGTCGGCGTCCTTGGCGATGCTGACAGCCTGGTGGTCCCAAAAATGGTCCTATGATTCTGGGTAGTGGTTTCATGATGTTTCATGATGTTTCATGGATCCATGGTGCCATAAAGGTGGTATATTGGTGGGATCCATGGCACACCATATATAGCAGCACCATGGATCCTATGGGTGATGTTTCATGGATCCGCATTTCAAACATCGTTTGCTCGGGATGTCTTGGAGCAAAGGCTAAGCCGCTAAGCCCATCCGAGCCCATCAATGGGACGACCAGCACCGAACCACACCTGTGTTTCCCACAGCTTCATCGCCAGCGCGTCAACACTTCGGGAACTCGTTTGTTCTATAACCGGGACTTTGACCTACTGGGTGGTTGCGCAATTTCTAGCATGTTGCAGCGTTGTTTTAAGATGATTTGGGGTTGGGGATGGATGACACATGAAATTTCCCGTTCGGCGAATGCAGGACATGTGCATTTCATTCGTGCCCTTGATTTTTCTGCATCTCATTTTCAGTTCGTGTTTTCTCAGCTTGCCCTGAACTGGGACTGAGGCGATGGGATATCATGATATATCATGGGCAAAGCGGTGTGTACGGTAAGACTAAGATGATCTGATCTGCTTGGCTCGTGAGGCCTCATGATCAAGAATGATGAATATATAAAAAAATATATGAACAATGCGAGATCTCAGTCAAGTCATCTTTATTGGCCTGGATCAGCATCCCATTTGGAGTGGATGAACATTTGGTAAGCGGGCCTTTTTGGAAAGCGGCCATTTGGTGAAGATATGCCAAGTGCCAAATAGTGCTCACCGCCTGACCTATCACATTCATTCCTGCAGTGTCTAAAGGCAGGAGGAAGCCACATCACAACCTTTTCATGGAAAATGGACGACCAAACCGTACCCTCTGGTAATTTAACGTAGCTATTGGAAATGGCCATTTAGTTCGTTGATTTACCCATAAAAAATGGTGGATCTTTCCATAGCAAACTGTTAGTTTACCAGAGGGTAACTTTAATATCCGTTAAAATCCTATGAGATGCCTTTTGAGGATCTCCTGCTTTCCGTTAATAACGGATATTTTGAGACCTATTAGATCCGTCAACGGTCTCCCAACTTCCCTGCTTTCTTCCTTTTCTCATCCATGCGCTTCCGTGATTTTCGCTCCGCCGCAGCGGCGGCGAATTCCCCAGCATCAGGGAGCAGTGTCTGCATCTTCCTTGAAATATTAGGACTGACGGATACAAAACTTATGATTGGATATGGATGGACAACTAATTATTAAATATGAATCCATCATGTCTGGTGGATATGGATGTAACTCTGATGTAACTAATGATTAATGGATGATTGGTGGATAACCAAAAACTGTAGTTTAACTTCAGGCTCCTTGTTTCAAAGACCAGTTGCTTCACGTTCCGCACGACACAACTCCGAGATGGCTCTCCCCTGTCATTTGTCATTGGAGGCAGCATCCTAACAAAGTAACCGACCAATCATCATCATTATATAATGGTATGTTGGTGAATAATATATTGAACGTATAATGGTATATGGGTATAAGTAACATACCAATCATTATAACAAAGTATTCAGTCACTGAATTATATATATAATGTTCTGGATTTTAGTTGGTGAGATCCAAAGTTGGGTCGCTGAAATCTTGCTCTTCAAACTCACAAACTAACACAATCACCATGATCTTCATTGGATGCCTTGCATCACATCTTCGCCCGGCCACTTTTCAGCCGGGGTCGCTGGGAGATCCAAACGTCGAGGCCGTGCAAGGGTCTTGCGTGGGGTCTCCAAATGGTCATCTGGGGCGGTTTGTCGACCTGGCATGCAGGATGCTATGAGGACCAAGCATTTGTTATATTTTTCATGTGTTATATACACTATATATGGCAAATCGCCGAATACCCTGCAAGATAAAACGCATCTTTGAAGATGTTATAGTAAAGCAACACATATGTGGCAACACATGCCGAACCAACTCTGCTGAGGATTGAGGGTGAACGTCCCATGCAGGATTCGCTGGCAAACCAAACCCAGTCTGTGTTGTCCTGACACCTTGCCAGCCAACAAAAACATATTGAGGCATCAATTGGCATCAATCATCATCAATCTAAGTTTTCATCGAAAGCATTTGGATGGAAACCCTATGCCCCCACAGTTCCATAATGTTCCATCATTAACACTTAAACATGCACTCCCTCCTCCATGTTCAGCGATGTCCGGCGAAGAGAGTCGATCCTTAGCATGAAGACGTGCTGGGAAGCTTCTGGAAGTTATGATCAGAATGCAACTATTGTTTTGCCTACAAATGGGATGATGTGGTTAAACCCAATTAGAAACCATCCCCAAATTCACCATAGATGGGCGGTATAAACTATCCCCAAATGGTAGGTATGCCGTATGCCCTCAAAATTGGAACCTAACGGGGAATATGAAGATAAACCATACGGCCCCCACGTTTAAACACACGGATTCTTAATTGAATACTACCTATTTGCGGTTTCTGGCACAACAATTGAAGAGTTGGAATAATGATTTATACACGGATCTGGCACACATAAAAACATTCGGAACACCATATATTTTCCACTACCTCCGCATCGGATATGTTGATCCTGCCCTCCTTATATATGTAAATGTTGTCGACTGTCAAGGGAAGATGTTCGGGTATCCAATTTTTGGGTGAATGAACCCGCATTGTTGTTACGGATGGTGCAGGCCTGAAACAATTGTTGAGTGCGACTCGTGTAGTGAAACATGGTGAAACCCAAGGAGAGTATCCTACAGTGGTTTAACATGGTTTAACTACATAATTAACCCCCAAATTGGTATGTCTGGGCACTGAAAAACCCTGTAACCCCTGGGTTGTCCTACTTAAATCTAAATGGTCCACCCATGTCCATCCAGTCTTTTTAGGGCTTCAGTGGAGTCCTTCCCCATAAGCCTTTCACCTCATAGGTCTCCCAGCAAGCACGTCCACTTCCAGCAGCGAAGTTTAGCAAAGTGCTAATCCCAATGCCATAAACCTCAATATTATCCAATAATATTATCATGTAAATGGATATGGATATGATATGGTATATAGTATATATAATCCCCACATGGCCACATGGTTTCGTGTTGACACCACAGATTGCGGGCCTTGTTGGAGGAAGGTGGATCCTGTGGATCCAATGCATCCAATGGATCCGGATCCACCTCGGTGGCAACTGCGCTTGGTGGTTGAGAAAAATAAGGCCCAGTATTAGAAATAGTTGATTTACACCATAGCTACAATGGTGATTTATTGGTATGTTACTACCTGTAGCTAGTTGATTTACACCATAACTACCATGGTTAACAATGGTGATTTTCCATATATATATATATATTTATCTGGTTGGTGGTTTTTAGCCTAGCCCTCTGAAAAATCATGGAGTGAGTGAGTTAAAGTCACTTGGGATGAGGAAATATGATGAAATTCATTCCCAACTGTCTCTGGAAAGTCATGGGCAAAATTTTCTTGGTTCCAAATGGTTCCAAACCAACCAGTTTCCATGTTCGTTTGAACATACGCTACCGAGGGGTACCTCCAAGATCCTCCAAGTCCATGGTTTTCGTGCGGGGGGACATCCCCTGGATAAAAATGTACACCTTCCTTGGGTGCCTGTAATTGTGCAGCATGTCCTGTGGTCACAACATGTTATATGATGTTATATGATGTTTTTTTTTGTGGTGCCGTCATCCCATCATGGTTATGGGATTCCTCAAAATGGATATGGTATGTCAACCGTCAACCCCGATCAATGGTGACTAATTATCCCCCTTTGGTGTCAAAATAAACCATGCTTTGACCATGGCACATCTGTTCTTCGTGGCACTTCTCCACCAGATCTGGTTGATCAGCCGAGGCAATCCCCGAAACTTACCATCTGGTTATGACTAACATAGCCATGGAAAATCTCTTATAAATGGAGGTTTATAGCTGGGAAAATCATCTATATATCAATGGGCAATTTTCCATCTATGTTAAATAACCAGAGGGTAGCACCTCTTCCATCATCGACATCAGGAACTCTGCTGTGGCCTGTGGAGGCCCCCATATGCTCTGAACTTTCCATACACCAGGGCCCCATGTCGAATATCAGTGTCAATCAAGTACCACTGGTTTGCAAATGGCTTTGCAAATAGTTCGATTTTGTTACAACTTACTCAGAATTGTTCAAAACTTCATTATTTGCAGCAAAAGTGATGCGACATCACCAGGTTTGCAGCAAGCATGTCTAGAAATCAGGCATTTTCACAGCAAAATTCCAATGCTCCAGGAAAGCAAAGCCACAACCTCTCACAGGAAGGGGCCCCAAGTTAGAAGTTGGTTTGGAACCCCACTGTAGATGTGCGCACCATAAATCCAATCGTTAGCCTGATGAATCAAGCAATTTGGCTATTGTATGGGGGCCTCTTCATGAGTGATTCACACATAAAATATGTTGTTTTATTTAATATGCACCTGTTTTTAACAGCTAAAATTATTCTGATAGATGAAAACTTGGCTATCTCAGATCAAATCACAATTTTTGTGGATTAAATTCATTATTAAATCATATTACATTATATAAATCCAATTTCCATGGCTTAAACATGCTTAAACCTATCTTCCCTCTTGCCTGAACATCGATTTTTGCAGAAATCCCCTTCCTGCATCCCATACTCTTGGTTTCCATTCAATATACTGTACCCATGCTATTTATCAACAAATTCATGTTCATAACCCCAAATCTCCATATTTATGCTAGTGAAATCCCCAAGTTTCCTCCATTTTCATGGGTAAATCCAGATCTTTTGCTGGCACCCAGCTTTCCATCACCGCCTCAGCGCCCTGAAGCGGCCCCAGCTGCGCGCGACTCAGCGCAAGCTGCCGCTGGGCCGAAGCGTGAAGGTCCTCAAGATCCTGCAAGCTGTCACCTGACCCAGTGCTGGGAACCGGCTTCGAGAGCAAAATAAGGAAGGGAAAAACTATGAAAAATATACAGTATGCATGCATGTTATAATTTTGCACGATATACGTCTTACAGGTTCATCACGGAATCAGTAATTGTGTATGTGTGTTGAGATTATACAATGATATACAAAACATTAGTGCCGTCAAAACAACTACCATAACCAGCGATTCTAAGCACTGCTCACCAGGCTCAAGCAATATTGCCCTGCACCCAATTCCAAAAATGCTGGATGTCTACTTGAAGTCATCCTTAAAAAGGCACCAACAAAAAGTCTGCTTTTGGGATATGCAAAGCGAACTGCTCTCATGGTGGGTTGGCCGCTCTTATGCCATCTTATGCCACTATGCAACCAGCAGTTCCAGTATCAAACAGTGATGTTCACAGCCCCTGAGTACGTAGGGAAATATTTTGGGTGCCAGTCCCAAAACCGGGGTCATCAATCCACAAGAGGCGACCACAATGGCGAGCCAAGGCGTTGTGTTAAGAGCATGGTCCCCCGAAAACAAGGACGACCATCACAAATCATCTGATGGAGTCACAGTATATACCCTCTGGTAAACATACAAAAAACTATGGAAAATCACCATCTTTAATGGGAAAACTCACTATAAATAGCCATTTTCAATAGCTATGTTAAATTACCAGAGGGTAAAATATCTAAAACTGTCTGAAGCCACCAGTAGACCATGGTGACCACTGACTTCCAAGTAGCACAGGCGTAAACTCTCTTCCAGTTCCGAAGTGAGTGCCCCATTCTGCCGCCACTCCAGGGCCAACAGCCTCAGTGAAGCTGGGGACTACTACCATCATTGGCTAAGAGGGGTTACAATCATGGGATTATCGTAGGGTTTTGTTTGGTGAAAAGTGGGGAGAACATGGGGATATGAAATCATGCGAACACAACTATCTATCTATCTATCTATCTGTCTGTCTATCTATCTATCTTTCTATCTATCGATCCATCCATCCATCCATCTACCTATAATATATATACACATATAATCGCCAAAAAATAAAACATGGCTACAGCTAGCTATGACCCTTCCAGTATGTGGACCTGATACAGAACGGTTCATTAGCAGCTTGGGTCTAAGCTCTCCAAGAATCAATGGCGCATCCTTGCAATTTTAAGATCCAAACCCTGCATATCTTGGCACTTGTCCAACATCAAAACACTTCATATTCAAACACCTACATATCATCTAGGATGCTACTAAACACAGTGGGGTTCATTCACTATCCCCATGGATTATATAAATAAAATAACCAGGAAGTGATGCTTAACCCACCATGTCCGGCCATTGTGCCGCCATCGAATGATCAGTGACCAACGCTTCTCCTCCACAATGCGATGTGTGCGAAGTCTCCTGGAGCTCTTAATGAACCCACCTGGAAGTTTGGAACATTTATGAAAATCACTGGAACACCGGTGAAACGTGGGCATCCTCCTTATTTGTTCAATGGTATCTCCAAGTTCTCTATTTGCGCTATGGAAAATGGACGATGAACAATGGTGTTTTCAACTTCCAGGTTGGTTTGTGAGCGGGATTCTATACCCAGCTAAGTAGCCAGCACGGCAAGAGTGGCTTACCCTCCTAGAGTGGCTCGTACGTAGTACTTATAGACACATGGCATTATTTGATATTATTTGTCCATATTTTCCCACATTACTCACACTTCTATTCATTCACATTCATTCACCGATGAAAAACATATAGCAAAAGATGTTGGGTCTTTCTTTTTCATTCGATCTATCATTGCTCATGGCGAAATAATTCAAAACAAACGCAAAATTACTGGAGAGACAAGGCTAATATTGATCTACCGTACCCTTCACTGAATCAATGAAACTCAAAAATGAGAAAACACTTTCATGGATCTACCCTTCACCAAGGTATATTAAGGTGTACCCAAAGCCAACCACAAAGTTGATAAAGCAATGATAGCAATGTCATCATAATCACCCATATGGATCGATGGTTTATACCCATAAAAAGGTAACATTGTAAGTCATTGGTGATGGCATGCCGTCGAAAATTCATGAAAATTCATCGAAAATTCCGCTCCTGTCGAGCTCAGTCAACTGCTCTGTGGTCATCTGGCCTGTAACCTCTTTGCGATATGTGGCGATGAAGGGCACGGCCATGTCTTCCTGCGGCGATCTGCGGCGGCAGTCGTATGACTGTGATTTAGGGGGTTAAGTCAAGTAGCTCCTAAGGAAGAAACAAATTGGATCCATAGTAATAGGGCATTCAATTAGCAAAATCACATGCTTGTTATACTCCAAAATTATACAACATCTACAAAATCGTTCAGTGTGTTGGGGCTGAAAAAAGTTCAAACAGGGAAGGATTTTTACGTAAAAACCAGACCTGCAAATCTCAGGAAAATCAACCATGATTCGATCAGCAATTCAGGGTAGCCCCACCGGCCCCACCAAGCATGAACCACTGGTTTAACAAAAGCCCCAGTAACTAGTTCGTTATAAATACCATAGACCATAGTTATTGGAGTTATAAACCAACTTAGCCCCATAGTGACATTGGAGTTATGTGCACCAACTGAACGCTATCGAACGGGGGCCTCACATTGTACCGTACCCCATCCACTAAAAAGAAACACAAACTATCATTTGCAGAGCAAACATTGAGCGGATGTGAGCAAATTTAAAGAAGACGATGCTGCACTGTGTATTAAGATATAGATATTCCTGGGTTCCAGTGGGTCTGGCGTCAACATCTTCTTACTTCGCGAGCAAATATGATACGAGCTGGATGCAGCAGGTTTCACATGGTGCTACACGCAGCTTGTAGATGGCTGCACCACCCACCATGGTGCCTCAATGGCCCCCAGTAATTTGGCCATCAACGGATGGATCACATCATATCCTGGAACCACAAAAAATACATCCAAATGCCAGTCAGAAAAATATCTTCCAAACCTCAAAATGTGTGTGTGTGTGTGTTCAGTTCTATCTCTTAGAGGTTTAACACTTAACAGATCTTGAATATCTTTAAATCACTATACCTAAATGAATTTCTTTATACCAAACTATGCATTTCCAATGCATCTCCCTCCAAAAACCAGCAGCACATTGCGATGTCCTCCAGCAGTTGAACCCCTTGGGCCACGTGCTGCGGATCCATCCGCAGCCTCTGCGCCTCATTGAGGATGAAAGCTCCTGTGTTAGCTAAATCATCATCATGTGGGTAAATGGGTAAATGTTCCATGGCCTGTGAATGGAGACCGGTCTAATCTCTCCAATGTTTTCTGCAGTGCAGGGATAAACAGTTTCAGCAATCGAAACTGTTGAAAAATATAGGTCCTACGGTGATGTCTTTGTATTTTTGTGGCATACTATACGCTGTAACCAGCCACAAAACCTTCAAATGATTCAAATGATTTTGTTGCCACAGAGTACTGCACACCACAATATTATTTCTGCTTGTTTGATCCCCAGCAATGTATGTGGAAAACATTAAATACCCAAAATCCCCAACTAGGCATTATCCCAGCAACATCTTAAAATCCAAGTACAAACAATGCCACATTTTACCAGAAATGGGTTTTGTAAGGCATCTCAAATTTCAGGTTCATGATCGGGCTTACCACAGCATATGATCATCGAAAAATATCTTAGTCTTCAATGTATATCACATAATTTTGAAATTCAAACCAACAGCACATGTAAACCAGCAATCATGATCGTTATTATTGGGCCGAAATAGGTCACAGCATAGGTTTCGTATCCAATTAATCGTTTCCCGCCAACATTAATCATTAATATCCCTGTACAAGCCTTAATTTTCGTGCTGGATCTCTGGATTGGGGTGGTATTTAGTAAATCTGAAAATTAGGGGACGGGATTATGATGTTACTATCAAAATTGTCTTTGTAGGAAAAACGAAATCCGGGCTGGTATACTATTTCCTATCATCTACCAATAAAGGTTGCTTTTCATGGGGGGACCCTTTGTTAATCACCCAACAAGTGGGATATTTGGACATCTGGATGAACAAGGACATTTGAAAAGAAAGATAAAACACATCCACTAACCTGGGCTACCCTCTGGTAAACTAACATAACTATGGAAAATCACCATTTTTAATGGGTAAATCCACTATAAATGGCCATTTTCAATAGCTATGTTAGTTTACCAGAGGCTAGTTCCCCCTAACCATCGAAACGATATCCTGTTGGTTTCTGTCGATCGAAACGCCCGAAACGCCGCCCCGCGTCCTGTTGCTTCGCCATCTGCTTGGGAGTTTTTCTGTGGCTTGGACTTGGCTTTGGACCTTGCTCCGCGGCGCGCCTCAGCATCCGTTTGGCCTGTGCCCAAGAAAATCTGCCAGATCAGTTGGAAGTTGAGGGGGAAAATGAGGGAAACTATGGTTTTTTCCAACCAGGATCACCTAAATATCTCGAAATACAATATACTTAAATATCAAATATCACATTGCTTTTCTTCTTGTGAATGTCGAATTCTGGTATTACTTCCCCAAATAAGAAGGGCTTGCTGGAAGCCACGCGTAGACAAACCAAAGCCTGATTGATTGCATATTGATTGTAGCTCTTCTGGTACGTACAATTGGTACAGGATTATCCCCGAAGCTACCAATGAAGCTGTGACATATCCAAACAAAGCCCAGTAGATTCCAGCTTGCCGTTTGTGGTTGTAAACTGACGTGCTTATTGATTGCTCAGAGCCTTTTATAAACACCGTTGGGACAAACCGTGGAATCATCCTTCACTGGATTGGTTGTGGAATCCCCGTTGCGGAATCTCAATTTAGAGACCAAAATAAACCTGAACTGCTGCAGGAGCACTGCCTTGCGCTTCGGAGTCATGATGCCAAAACCTGAAAAACACGGTGGCACGTTACTCAGAAATCACTGGGGGGGGGGGTAGCAAGGTTTGTACCCCCAAATCTAAATAGAAAAATGGTCATGTAATGACCCAATGTTTTCCAACATTGCCAGAACCAATAAGGTTTACTCTGGGAAAGGGGTGCTTTTGTAATTTGATAAAGTTTTTAAAGGTTCCATTAATGAGCCTGTGGGCGCTAGCAAGATTTCAAATGGATCAAAGTTCCAAAAAGGCAACACCAGCAAAAGGCATTGCGTTTGGGAAGCCTTAATAAAAATCCAGGGGTTCATGTTGGGAAATGCCTTGCACTTATATAACATACTTCGAAATTAATATATAATATGTTCCGCAAATTAGACATTTTACTTTTTGAGTCTAATCATTTTTGCTAAAAATGGAGCTGTGTTCAGCAGATTCGAAGAAACGCAATGTTCAGCAGCCATGATCTAGCGCATGTTTGGCTATCTGGATGGATAGATAGATAGATAGATGGATGGATGGATGGATAGATGGATGGATAGATAGATGGCTAGATGGATAGATGGATAGATGGATAGATGGAGATAGAGATAGAGATAGAGATGGAGATAGAGGTAGAGATAGAGATATATCCGCAACATAACAACGCGCCCTCCAGTAAACAACATAGCATATAGCATAGCTAATTAACCGCACATAATGACCAACTGATCTCCGGGGCATTGTCAGCACACCGTATTTGATTTCCAGGAGTTTGTAGCTACAGTCCTAGAATCAGCGACATCTGAATGAAATTGCCCAACATGGCATGCAGGATATCGTAGGAAAGTGTGGGTTCACGCCTCAGCTTCCTGATGACAAATGTTCAATATTCCCTTCCCCCTGTCACTAAACCAGGTGTTTATTATTTGAGGGAGGCGTTTAGTATTAGGGTGAACTGATTATTCAAACATATAATTTGAAACAATTTTGGGATGATGTCTTCTTACCATTTGGGGACGGGCGAAGCCATTGGGTAGCTTACAAACATCGGATGATTGATAGCAATCATATCCAAAGATTACAGGCCTGACATTTTTTGACCCTGCCTGTCACTCTTCACGTGAAACATGCCCAATCTGCTGTCAGAAGGGCCTTTTTGACCCATGCAAAAAAAAATCAAACAAGTCGGATTATAAGTAAGTGTCCATCAACCATTGGAGAAACTCAACTAAATATATCTATATATGCTTGAATGATGCTAAGCTGTGGTTCCCCCCCCAAATTAGCAGGGTCACCCCACAAAAAGTCATCGCCCATCTGACACTAAAACTGGTACTCTAAAGAAAGCATCCTTGCCCCATGCCCAGCATCAGCCCTGAATTCCTTCCACCCTCACGCCTTGGGCTGGGCTTGCCATCCCACAGCAGCCGGGAAGGTTTGAAGTGGCTGCGGGGGATCGTTGTGGTTCCAGAAGCACCACAGGAAACACTTTCTGAAACACATCTTCGTTCCGAAGATTTCCGAGCTTTCAAGCTGCCAAAGATCATGCACAAAGAAAATGAAGATAAATGTTTGGCATACTTGGCATGTTCGAATGTTGCGCTTCGATCTCTTACCGTAGCACTGGGCCCTCCGAACAGAGCAGCTTTCAGCATGGCCTTCAAGTCCAGCTCACTGGGCGCCTGCACCTTGGAAAACGTCTGGGGAGTCGGGGGAGGTGTCCTTCACCAGAATCATGCAGAAACCATCTTTGTTTTGCCCCAAAAAGTGGGAGTCTTCCATGGTTCCCTTACCAGGTCTGGGAACATATTACGTTTATTTATGTTTCACACCTGATTTTTACTGTTGGAAACCATGAAAGTATAGGGTAAAATACCCACTTCGATGGGTACTGGGTACTTTGAGCCTCCAAGCAGAATCTTATAGAAGTGGTTGGCGGCTTCAGTGCGTCCAAAAAATATGTTATAACATGTTATAAAAGCCCTTGGGCCCAACAATGAAATCCAATGAGCACCCAGCGAAATGCTATCACATCAGGGAGCCAAATTTCATGGTGGGAAATTTGAGTGGAAAGCCCCAATCATACCACGGCCAATCCTACTTGCCAAAACTTAAACCTGTCTGCAATCCCCATTTCATCAACAGATTACATCTGCAGAAAGAACAACTACTCTTCACCAAGGTCGACTCAGCTACTAGTAATGTTGGATGGTTAGACTAGTTAGATCCTCAATTTTCGCAGTTAAGATACTAAACTTAAGTCATGTTAAACCATGTTGAACCACAACATTTCAGGATTTCCCTGGTTTTTCGGATTGGAATTGCTGCCCATGTCCACTTGTCACCGGGCCTTGCGAACCATTCGCTGCCGATCTGCTGGCAGAATCCACTTCCTTGGGGGCAATCATGGGCCCTAAACTTTAAATTTGGCGGTTCTCTTCTTTTAGGCCATGTTAAATAGATATGGTCATGTCATGACTACAATAATTATATGATAATTATATATATATATGTACATGTTCTGAACCAACTCCAATTTTCTGACCCTAATTTCACTGACTAGCCTCCAAACAGAGTCACTCGCCATATTATAGAATAGATATGGCACCCTCTAGTAGCCAATGACAAACTATGGCTGGAAATCCCTACTTGTACTCAAGAATTCCTCCATTGGATATGACAAGTATAAGAATGACTATAGCAAGCCCCAAAAAATAGAACAGTATAGAACAGTGCTTTCAGGACAGTATTTAGATGATTTGTTTCCACCATCATTTCCAGGTTCGCCTTTTCGGCATCTGTTTCTTATGTTTCTTGGGGGTGCTATATACCATGCTAATTTACCAAAGGGTAGGGCCCCAATGCTCCAGCAAACCAGAGCGTATGAGCTCCACACACACCTGTCTGCGATAGCACCTGCAGAGGCCAGCTATTCCCTCATGAGCCCCGAAACAAACAGGAACATTCGGAAGGTGTTTCCTTTCTTCTTGCCTTTGTGTTTACCTCAAAAAAGATATTTCCGCTGTGTAGATTGTTGGATATCTCCAAAAGGCATATCGAGGCATGCGAATGGCACTGATTTCGTCTCAGCACCTTCAGGCTGCCTGCAGGGACGTCCTCAGTGAGGATACCAAGCTTGGAACGCTATCTGTGTGAGTCAAAAGCTGCCAACAAAACAGGGGCTTGATATGGCTTGACGGCTTGATTCCAGGGCTTTACCATGTCTTTGCTGTGGAAAGGGGTGTGTGTGTGTGTGCATGTGCCTGTGAATTTTCCTGATGCTTCTTCGGAGTGGAGACTCCAATCTACCAATGCATGGCTGCATTATTTTTGAAGAGAACAAAGAAGTCGCAAAGCCACTAGCGATACCCCCAGAAATCTACTTATTCTTACTTGCAAGGAGAAATCCCGATATCCTACTAGGAATCATCCATGTAATCCATGTAATTTATGTAACGGGAAAAAATCATCTGCAAGGCATTGCAAGGCTAGAATACCAAAGTCTACTAGCATCATCTGGCATCAAATCATATCAAATCAGGACCATGCTTGATGCGATCTCAGCTTCAAAGCCCTCAGTCTTCGTGTCGGTCAAAAAGATCTCTTGAACGACACCTGACACTGAGATCACTGAGCAGCTGTCCACGACCCTCCAGCAATTTCTGGAACCCTGTGGTTTCAATGCCTGGGGCTCTTGAATCCTCATGGGGTTTCTATGTGGGATCATGTGGGATCATGTGGGATCAGATCCCTAGCCCCCAGCTGGCTGAGCGACAGCATGCATTAAAAAGAGGCCAGCACGACACCAGTTAACTGATAGTGGAAGAACAAGGATTCATATCCCATCAGCTCTACCATTCACTGAGGTCTCATCCAACTCTCCAAATCAAGTCTTCAATGCCCAAGGATCTATGTCCCCTGTGCTCCCCTGTGCTCCCCTGTGCTCCCCTGTGCTCCCGCGTGGCCTAGGAGCCATTCTTGGCGGCTCTCGCTCCAGACGTGGATCTTCTCTCCTCTTTCGAAACTGTCGGCTGAAGGGGCCTCAGACCTGCAGCTCTTGGGGAATGAGAGATGGGGGAGGTGATACAGCCCAAGAATGGAATAAAATCCAAGAAAAGGTCGTCGATGATCCATGTCGTTGGCAGGGGATATAATATCTATATAGATATCTTATGTAGATATAATATAAATACATTGGCTAACGGTTCGTGTATCGATCATCTTTATTGAAGAAATACAGCAGATACCAAATATCAACAGATTTGCCTTCCAAAGTGAGGGTCCTGGTAATGGTCCATGGCCTATCCATTTGGTCAATTCCCAAGCCCTGTCTCACTGACGTGCCAAACGGGCGCAAGATCTTGCCAATCTGATCTGGCATGACCCACTTGGAGGTTCCTCAGGGGCATCGCTATTCCATATCCTGGCCTTGTGGAAAGATGCCACCGAAGACCGAAACTGTCCAATCCCAAGAAAACATAGCGACCTATGGTAGGACCTATGGAAGATGGTGCAAGTGGAAATCCTCTTCCAGACTTCTGACTTAGCCACAGGAGAAAGGCAACCTCCACATCACCATGGGTCACCATGGGCTGAGTTGCCAACCAATGCTCGAGCGCACCAGCAAAGATCCAGCCTGGCAGGACGTCACCAAGACTCGAAGATCTATCCGCCAGTGGTCCTTACATAATCATACATCAATCATAATGATTCATAATGATTCATAATGATTCAGAATGTATATATAAAGTATATATAATGTATATATATATGTATATATATAATGTATAATATGGACACGTTCGTTCATTTCATTGCCAGAGGTTCTCCAAAGACAGGATTGAACCCACCTAAGACATGTTTTTTGGACATTGTTTAGTCCTACAAAACTATAATTTATTACTGAAATTCTTTCCGGCCCTATAAAACACGATTGACATTTCTTAAAACCATGTGATTTGGAGGTTTCCTAAAATGGGGTTTCCGCTCCAAATCATCCATTTTAATAGGATTTTCCATTATAAACTTATAAACCATCCATTTTGGGCCCCATTTTAATAGGATTTTCCCAGCCCGGGCCCCAGCCCCAGCCCCATCCCCACCGGAATGGTGAAACCACGTCCCTTGGTGTCCACAAGGTACGCCTCCTGAGGCGATGCCCGACATTTTCGTGGGAAAGTCTTCTCGGAACCAACTGAAGCAACCGCCTATTATTGGGTCTATGTTCATTGGGGGATGGGACATATCGCTATAAAATGCTATAAATATATAATACTTACTAGATGTACTTATGTCATGAATGATGTAGATAGAATGTAATAGAATGTAATAGAATGTGATGAATGATGTAAATAGAATATGCGCTTATGTAATTTTAATCAATTTTAATCAATTTTATGCATGTTTGCTTTTGCATTCCAAAAGTGTGGGCTGAAAGTCTGGCACAACAAATGAAAAAACGACGGAATCGACTAGAGAGTGGCTGGGGTAATTTGCCATGGCCCTATATCGGAGTGTTGTCTGTTGACCCATAGCTCATCAGCCTAGTTTCAGGTGGATAATTCAGATCAAGCTCAAGGCTCTTACCGGGTAAACATCCATTGAAGCCGGCTATCTACATCACATTTCAAGTATGTGCGCCAGCATTTTTTGTGCACGGCTATTAAGAACTTCTTCAGTCACGACCAAGTTGGTACTTTGACACACCCTCTGGTAAACTAACATAACTATGGAAAATCACCATGTTTCATGGGAAAACTCACTATAAATGGCCATTTTCCATACAAGTAGATATGTTAGTTTACCAGAGGGTACTTTGACCAATTTCTTTGGAGTAAAAAAGGGCACATTTTTCGATCGCAGCTCCGCAGCTCCTCAACAACTGCATCCATCCAGGCTCCCTGAGAATCACTCCAAACCTGCGCAGCAACAGTGTCACGCACAGTGGGCTTGCGTGATCCTCTTGGTTGATTATCCAACTTTTCTTGGACCCCGGTCAAAGCATGCACGTCAGAAAAGCCAGCTGGGACTTTGCCTTCAAATTTTCACAGGGGTCTTCCGGTTACATCTACAATGTCAACACCAGATCGACACGCTCCTGCTAATTATACAAGTGTGGGGCTGTGCCAGAGTACGCCCCGCAAGTAGTTTTTGGTGCTGCCTTTATCAAGTACTTTACCCAACGCCCACCTTGACCATTGACTGTCATATCTCTGAAGTGGACGAAGGGAAACCCACAGGAAATCCCTACATTTAAACCATGGTTTCCAGTTTAACCCTGTTTTAACAGCAGGCCTGAAGAGAATCGCCTTTGCGATATTGGAGCCCAGGGAGTCGCAACCTGGCTGCTGGCATGCCTCAAATCTAGAGTAATATGAAAACATGTGTGCAGTGGACACGGGTTGTGATACTGTATTTTTTCAGGGGGTTCTCATGGGAATTGCAGGTTTTAAGGTTTGCAAGTTCCATTCAAATGGCAAACCATATGAAGTTTCTCGTGCAGGTCTGTTGTGCAGAATGAGCGGAGTCTTGGCAAACCTTTCGGCCTACATGCATACCTTGATCAAGACCGTTCTGTTTAATTACTCTACACAGGGCTCTGCCTCTGCACCAAAAGGGCTTACCGTCAAAATAAGGATTCAGTCAACACAGAGATCCCCAAACGTGACGTATCTAGACATTGTCATTGGTCATTGGTGGTGGTGGTGGTGGTGGTGGTGGTATCAAATTACATGTCCATCTTTTTGGGGAGGTATCATGCGATGTTACTGCATGCATTACGGGACCAGCATTGAATTGAAGGTATCTTGACTTTATCACTGATCACTATCTATAGTTTGAGAAAAAACGCAAAACAATTGGCTCATCGATATCATTCTCGTTGCTGAGGATCTAGCAAACACAGCATCTTCTGATTTTGTCTCTCTATGTCTGCAGCACGAACTTTGCTGAATGCACCGGCTGGCATTTCTGACCGGCTGGCTTTGCCAGAAGAGCATCAAGAAACAGGATCAAGCAAACGCAAATGTCTGGGTACAAACGTGTGCGGGTACGCACTAGTCTGGAAAAAATGTGGGCCCCTAGGATCAAGGCTCTGGGTTCTTAGTTTTCCTGCCAACCTCAGCCATGGATTTTGATGGCACAGTACCAATCACATAGTTTCGATGTTCAGAGATCCAGTATCTGGGGATGTCATGCAAATCCCATTTTCCAATCACGGAGCAAAATCAGGATTCCATGCCCGACATGGCACCAACCTGATATCTTTTGCATGATTTTGCATCTTGAAACCCTTTTTACAGTATGTAGATGTTGTTGATGTTGGAAAAGGAGGAGGGAACAACAAAAAAACAAACAATTTCCTGCATAAAAAATCCTGCGCAAATTCTCCCAGAAATGCCTGGTGCAATTCCATGTGCCACAGCCAGCACTCGGGCCCTTTAGGCCCAAATGTATGGATGCCACGGGTGTCACTGGATCATCCTCACGATTCCTCACGTACACACGTTCGCCTGATGGCATCAGGTGATAATATGTGATCATTGCATAGGAAGACCTTAAAATGTGTGGGGAAGGACGCTCACTCATCATCTCATCTGAAGTTCGGGAACACCCTAACAATCGTCACAAAAAAATAGCTTGCACAATGTTGCACACAGTACATTCGTTAAAGGGCTGATGATCCAAGTTTTTTTTGCATTGGGGCGTCTAGTGGTGCTGGAATTCACTCCAGCATCCATGATCGTTAGGGAACGATCATACCTGTCATACCCTCTGACAATCTAACATTATAAATAAATAAATATATAGTATCTAATAGATAGATATCTATATTAAAAAAATATGACAATGGAACATCACCCATTCACACATGGTTTGACACGAAAAAACATGCTATGCAGCAACGCCATTTTTTTTAACCCCCAGGAATCTCCCTCCGTCCCGTCCCTCCGTCCTCAATCGATCAGTGGAGGGATTTCTGGGATCAAACCTGTGGCGAGTCATGGTCTCGGTTGATTGAAAGGTCTGGAAAATGGGGATCTGTCACTAAACCCGGAAAAAAAAATCTAAAGAAAATGGAAACAATCCATCCATGCTGCATGCAGCTGCTATGATTCATTCAGTTCCAATAATCGACTAATTTATTAAAAACAAGTCTACACGGCCTCTAGTAATGGCAATGGAGAATCTCCTATTCAGAGATCGTTGTCCGGTTCTCATTCCCGTGAATGATTGCCGGAGGATAGGTGATTTTTGTTAGGCGAATACGATGCAAACACACCAAAGAAATGTGTTTTTTTTTTGCTCAGCAAATTGCATGTTGTTGTTGGGTACATCCCGATCTGGCTGGTGGTTTCAACCCTAAAAAACATCTGCATGTCATAAACTCCACATACATCAAAACTTCGGAACAAATCGAAAGTATCAGCGATTTAATGGTGGCTATAGAAAAGGATTTACCATGATTTAGCTTCATTTGTTTCTGTAACATAGCCGCATAGCCATGGAAAATGGCCTGTTTGTGTATGACCTACTGCAAACGATGTTTTTCCAAATCCCATCAAGATCCCACATTGGCCATGGGTAAAGTCCCTAGGCCCTAGATCCGAGATGATCCGAGTGTCCCAATGGTCCAAGTCCCTAGAAAGTGTCCATGGCTATGAGAGTCCCTAAGTATGCCCCTATAAAGTTACCAATGTTACGAAATCCTTGCGGCCAAGGGGGATCCCCAAGTCACCATAGCTTTCAATACTAAGTCAATGGTCAGTAGTCACTTGGATGATTTGATAGTTTTTTGGGGTGTTTTTTGGTGGAAATTTCATGACTTGGGAAACCTCCATATCATGGTCAGTCTTTGACAGTACACAGAATAATCTTTTGCCGGTAATGGTGTTATGTTCCATTGGTCGCCAAAAAAAACAAAAGGATTAAACTACCCATCATTACTTGAGTGATTGTTGGATAATAATAACAGTTAATAATCAATGAATAAGTCCTCAAATTAGTAGTTACCTGGCCGTTTGTTGGTGCGAATTAGTGGCATAAAATTCTTAAATCCATAAACCTCTAATAATTGAACATAGCTATTAAATTTGGCCCATCCAAAGTTGATTTACCTATTACAAATGGTGATTTACCTATATGAAAAATGGTGATGTTCCCATTAAAAATGGTGATGTTCCTATTAAAAATGGTGATTTTCCCCTCCATCTCTCCCCCCTTGGGTGACCTGAGCTCTGCGCCAGCGCGGCCGCCCCATAGGCGCCGGCGCCGAAGTTCCGCACGCGCTCCTGGCAACGGCCGTGCCGGAAGAGCGCCACCAAACGACCTCCGGGGTGCCGCGGGGGGGGGGGAGATTTCCAGTGGATGCCAACCTCGAGATTTTCAAATCTACAGTATAGTATGGTCTAGTATGGTCCAGTATAGTCTAGTATGTAATGGAATGGCATGGAATGGAATGGAATGGAATGCCATGCAATGCATGTACGTACGTACGGATGGATGTAGCTAGCTAGCTAGATGTGTATATATATATGCATATATATATATGCATATATATATATGTATATATATATAATTATATATATATATATGCGTGTGTGTATGTATGTATGTATTTATTTATTTTTTATATTTAAACTGATTCAAAAGGTGATTTCGTTCTAGTATTATTCAAGTAAAACCTATATTTGTATATGTGAAAGCACCAGGTGGGAAACATGGGGGATATCTCAATGTCTAATGCTTCATTCAATAACATCTTTTTTTCCATACTCATTCCATACGTGGTTCCCGCGCCCAGGGAATGGGGGCACCATCCTGATTTTGAGCCGGAAGGGGGTTCTAGTGAAGTTCTGCCACTGGCTATGGCGGCTATGGCGAAATGGATACCAGTGATATCAACGTTAGGGTTTGAATATGTTTGAAAGGGCTGTTTAAAGGCAAATTTGCAGGAAACCCCGAACGATTTGATGAGATGCAGATTTTCCCTTGAATCATCGAGATGACCATCTTGGTTGAGAGTAGAGCCTCAGCTTCCAAGCCCATGAAGCAATGGGGAAACCATCCGACCAAGATAGTACTCCGAGCTCGGCAGAAACTCCAAAACACAATGAAACTTAACCTATGACATAATGGATGCACTAAATAAACAAAATTATCATCCCATCCCCTCCCTATATGAAAAACACCCGCTAAGTATCCCTAAATGGTCCCAATTATGTAGAGATTCGCGTTTCTGAACCATGCTTTCTAAGGGGATGTTTAATATTATATTCATATAATTTCATATAGGGGGTGGGATTATAACCAATATATAACCCATATAACATAATCTAACATGGTAAAACCAACAATCAAAACATGGGACAGGTTGGCAGCTGCACCTTGCCACGTATGGATCTCCTCATCCGCCCTACCGACGAAGTTGGGCCATTTGACCCACTCACCTCGGAGGTGGCCTAAGGGCCCTTGAGGGCCACTTACACCTAAAGGCCCCTAAGTTGAAATAACATGAAACATAACATGAATCCCAATACTTTTGGTCCGGAATTTATGATGCATTCCAAACTTAAATTAAAATGATTAAATAAGGCCATTTGGGTTGCATCTTAAAATTAGGGAGTGAAAGTGACCGCAAAAAATGGTCCAATCAAGAATTTGGTTGCTGAAACGGCCACCAAATTTGATAGGACACATCCAAAAATAAACAGGGTCAGTGATGTTTTTCTTCCCAACTATGAGTAGGTCTAATATATAGTTGTTCAAACAAAAACATGGAGATCGACATCACGCGCGGCTTTCCACCTCCCATCCAGAAAACAAATCGCCCAAGGATTTCCAGCTGATTTCTTTGGCAAGGCTCTAGCAGCCTTGTCGTACAGCTGTCGCAACTCGTGATCTGCAAATTTCTCGTTAAGCACCTGGAAGAAATGAATCCTGAGCAGAGATCCCCAGTCGTCACCATGGGTAAACCTATACTAAGTCATGGTCATCCATGATGACTGGATGATACAAGGGGGGTACCATGACTTAGGAACCCCCCATAGATCAGTTGATTTTTGTCATCTGATTGACCACTATTGAACTGAGGGCCATCAGCTTTACGGTTCCACCGGGAAAAAAGTCAACTTGATCGCTAAAAATGTTGAGGTATGTCCATGAAATGAATGTATACATATATAAATATATATATATATATATCATCCCTGCCGATGATTTGAGTTGATACTTATTGCAGAAATTGATGTTCATGTATTTTCCGATGATTTCCCCTTTGTCCATTTTGCTGGTGGCAATACCGCATGGCACATGACATAGCTAACCTCCCACAACCTTGGATGATATACAGTGTATATATATATATATATTTTTTTTGTCAATGGATATGATTCCACATCAAATAAACCGATGTGAACTATAGATATGTATGACAATGATACATGTGTCACATATGTGTCACAATGATACTGCTACACATTGGACAATGTGACAATATCATAAAACGTTTGTTACAAACGTTGGAGAAAAACAAACCACACCGAGTTCTCCCAGCAGTTGACGATGTTCCACTCCAAGGTGCAGCTCCGTGTGAAGTGTGAAGAGGCGTGAGTTTTCTCGGAGGGCCTGGCCAAAAAAAAGGGCACCTGTTCCGACCCTCAAAATACTCTTTGGTAATTTAACATAGCTATGGAAAATGGGCCAAATATAAGTGAATGTCCCATTAAAATGGTGATTTTCCATTGCTATGTTCGTCCACCAGAGGGTAACTTTCAATTTCCGTTGTTTTGGCCCATACCACTGTCATAAAACTGAAAACCACGCGGCTAACTCACTTGAGCAACCAACAATTCGTGCGAAAAACTATGAATTGGTTTCCATCATCTACAAAAACGTCGCTGCAATTATCCCAGGAATTCCCCAAGTCATATGTGGATGGATTTCATCGCGATACTGTACTCGATTTCAACATTCATGTTTGATCAGGCATCGGATTCTCCAAGAAAACTGTCAACATGCAATAATGATATCAAGAATTCAGAATGCCTGAAATCGATGATTCTGGGTGTAAAAGGGATGTGTGGCATCGTTTATCATGTTTGGCATTGTTTTGTCGACATGATGTTTTATCATTTTACATGACAACCATCCACTTCTAAGCTCGCCAAAAGATTCTGCTACCCCCTGTTTTCTTCGATGTTTCATGTTTATTCGAGCTCCACAGCTACATCTCCCGTCCCCAAATCCCTTTTTTGCCAGTTTTTTTCATTGCGCCCCAAGCCATGCTGAAATCGCCAAGACCAGCAGTGCCAGCAGCAGCCAGCGGCGCCACGACGTGCCCTCCGCGGCCCCAGAGACCGTCGTCGCCGTCGTCGCCGTCGTCGACGTCGCGGTGCCCGGCAGGAGCCCTCGGGCTTCGGCGCGGCGACGCGCGGCCAGAGACATGCCCAGCATGGCATCCAACGGGGGCAGCAAACCACAAAGGCTGAGGCCGCAAATGGAGAAGTAGGAATGCAAAATATCTGGAAATGGAGCTTCCGGAAACCTCGGTTTTGATGATGTGGTTTTGGATGATGGTTGCCATAGTTTTTTTTTTGTTTCGGAGGAGGACACCTCAATGAACTTTGAGTGTTGAACACTGCACGGTAGATCTACAATTGTGACACGCATTCATGTTTCTATTGTTTGCGTGGATTCATCCATTCATTCATTCATTTCATTCATTCATTGATTCATTCCATTCCATTCCATTCCATTTCATTTCATGTCATGTCATGTCATTTACTTATTTCATTCATTCATTCATCCATTCATTCATTCTTTCATTTCATTTCATTTCATTTCATTTGATTTCATTTCATCATGCTGATTGTCATTTGTTTGTTGTCCTGTTTGTTTTTGTTGCATCAGTTCCCAGGTTGCCAGAAGCATACGGCCAAAGGGTCTGTCCATAGATTCTCTTCAAACGTGCATCTTTAAACATTTTTAAATTAAAACATCTTTAAACATGCATCTCTGCGCTACAGCAATGAGTAAGTTACATATCTAACAGTGCCTACTACATGAGAATCAAAGTGCCCAAAGATAGCATGGTGGAACGAAACTTAAAGGAAGCATGGAACATCTTAACACATCCATTAATTAAAAAAAAAAAACATGAGTCATGAGTCTGACTGCACCATGCTTGGTCATGTCAGTGTTGAATTCGTTCAAAAATCTTTTATAGTTGAAATCCATGCCAGGCGACTTCTGAAATCCTCCCATCTTGGATTCGCAGCTCAACAGGAAGCGAGCGCAACTTTGGCGCTCCAAGATGTCGGAAGCTCCCAGCAACTGAAGGCTTCCACCCACCCAGAAGGAGTAGCAACTGTCTGGGTCCTTCTCGATTCGTCCTTGAAAACCTGACACCTGGGCGGAATTTGATGAATTTGCTCTTCTGGTGGCCAACAAAAATTACAGGGGCCAAGTTGGCGTTGGAAAACCTGAAACATGATAGTCGGCCTACAAACAAATTACCAAACCTCAGAGTCCCCACTATGCATATGATGAGAACATGTATAAACATAATATATAATGCATATATTATTATATATAATACTGTATATTATATATGCAATAAAAATCAATAAAATATCATATATTACCACCATTGTCGGATCGGATTTTAACTACAGTACATATTCTGGGTCGCTAGGCCTGTCGCGAGGCACACCATCTCAGCAATTCCTCCCTCCTGTGCCGCGTTGATCTCATGGCAGGACATCACCCAAGCTTTAAAGGAAAGCACAACCAACAATCATGTGAAGGTGATGATGATATATGATTTAATGTGAAGGTGATGTTCAATTTATTTGTTATATAGATGCAATTTAGAATCCCGAATACGGAGGAAAACAGGACATATACAAGCCTTTTGGAGCGAGTACAGTAATGTACCCAACGTTTTCCTATCAAAAGTTGAGGTTTATATACAAATTTTTGACGTCAAGATACATCAAGAAGGAAGATGATACGCATCAGCAAATACAGAAAACGGGACATTTGGGAACAGCTCCAGAAATTGATAGCTACGATTACATAGTACCATAGTACTTAAACCATTGACCATGCTCAGTTTGAAGCGAGTCCACCCGGTAGATTAAAAAGATTAAAATCAATGCCATATAGCCACATATGGATATGAAATCAACTGGTGCATGTATCATTAACAAAAAAACACCTTCCAATACATGGAGTTGTTGACACTGGAATTCACAGCAACCCCAAAAAAATCGAAAGAAAAACAATCCTCTATAGAATCCTATTTTAAGAAAGTAGTCAATTTACCACTGTCAATTTTTTTTGTTGAGCTTATACATATTTATCCAATCATGTTCCCAGCAAACAGCAAACCTCGCCGTCCTGGGGCACTGGTCCAAGCGTCCCATCATCGCCAAGGCGGCCACGGCACAGTAGCTGCAGCCGCCGTGGGACTCCGTGGAAGGCGCCATGCCAAAGGCGCCGTCGTAGCTCTGTGAGCCATGGATGAACTGCAGCATTCGCTCCAGGTCGATGGCGTGCCAAAGGTCTAAGATGTAGCAAATACCTGAAATGGCATGTTAAAAACATTTAAAAGCCATGACCTGGGGGATTTAAGATGGCTTGGTCTATTTATATCTATTTGTATAGTATCAAGTATCAAGCATCCAATTATTGGGGCACCAAGTTTTGACCCATAGGCGAATAGGTGGGAAGACTGGGAAGATTTCCTGGAAACTGTGGAAGTCGGTTTTGGACAAACATATTCTTTTGGTAAAATATAATAAGGGAGATAAAATCTGTTGGAAAGCACAGCATGTTTTTCATCAAATATTGGGACATCATGGGGTTTAGGCACGCACATACACATACACACACATATATATATATATATAATATATACATAATTTTACACATGCACCTACGATAGTGACGCAACACTTACCACATGAAGTATCATCGTTTCACTTAGTTCCCCAAGAAGGCCTCTTCCAAGAGGATTATCTTTTTTTGGAACCGGCTTCGGGATTCCAATATAAATAATCCCCAAGGCTAAGAAGAATATGCATCAACAAATGCTTTCACCCTAATGTTAACTTGCACGAGCTAGTGCCGAAATAGAATATGCGTTTTCCAGGTGTTCTGGAACTTGCCAGGTTTGAGATTGCAATCGTATGTGCGTCGGACAAGGATCAGCTACATGTTGCCAAATCTTTGCCTATAGGAAGTTATATTCCTGTATGTAGCATAGCCATAGCTCAGATACCTCAAAATCAGGACAAAAAACAATATTGAATTTATTTTCCAAGCAAAACATATTCGTTACTTTATGATCAGGGAATGATGCTCACATGATTGATTATTCATGTAGAGCTGCCAGTGCCACGGCATAAAGGCTCAAACTAAGAGCCTACGATGGGGAGGAATATATATAACTATATATACATACATATCACCATTGTTTTGTGTTTTTAGGTGTTGTTGTTCATGCGTCTTTTCCCTATAAAGGGGCATCTCAATATCAAGAAAAAGGAAGGACAATCTCAGTTCTGACTCTGGTTGGCCTTACATTCATTGCATGAAAGCTTCCAAATTATAAATCCCACGCAAGAAAAAACACCTATTCATATTCCAGTGGCGAACAAAAAAAAACAAAAGCACACAAATGAGATTTCTACATGTAAAAGTGTGATGTATCCATTCTTTTGAAGAAAAAATGATAGAGATATCCCTTATACCCCTGGGCAATCCAACCACAAGAATGAACAAATACCCTTCTAAAAAAGGGACATCTCCATTCTGAATGCATATGGTTTCATTCTTTGGGAAAGGATGTAAACCATCCAGAGTTCCACAGACAAAAAACAGATTGGAAATTAAAAATGTCCGCAACAATTTCCATTCAAAACGGTGGTTTCTCCATTCAGAATGGAGAACGGAGAAGTCTCCATTTAGAACGGAGAATTCTCCATTCAGAGGGATTTCTCCATTCTGAATGGAGAAAACGCTTCGGAAAACACTAATATATAGATTTTTAAAAAAAGAAAGGTTCGAAACGCTTCTGAAAAAATTTGAATGGAGAAATCTCCATTCTAAATGGAGATTTCTCCATTCTGAATGGAGAAAATGCTCTGGAAAAAAAAGAGAGACAAATTTCAAAAAAAGGTTCGAAACGCTTCTGAAAAAGATTGAATGGAGAAAATGCTCTGGAAAAAAGAGAGATACATTTTAAAAAAAAGGTTCGAAACGCTTCTAAAAAAGTTTGAATGGAGAAATTTCCATTCAGAATGGAGATTTCTCCATTCTGAATGGAGAAAATGCTTTGGAAAAAAAAGAGAGACGCATGTCAAAAAAAGGTTCGAAACGCTTCTGAAAAAAATTGAATGGAGAAATCTCCATTCTAAATGGAGATTTCTCTATTCTGAATGGAGAAAATGCTCTGGAAAAAAAAGAGAGACAAATTTCAAAAAAAGGTTCGAAACGCTTCTGAAAAAAAATGAATGGAGAAAATGCTCTGGAAAAAAAAGAGAGACACATTTAAAAAAAAAGGTTCGAAACGCTTCTAAAAAAGTTTGAATGGAGAAATCTCCATTCAGAATGGAGATTTCTCCATTCTAAATGGAGAAAATTATTTGTGGAGTGGAGTTTGTTTTTTTTAAATCAAAACACTTCTGAAAAAATGAATGGAGGAATCTTCATTCAGAATGGAGATTTCTCCATTCTGAATGGAGAAAATTCCCTGTAGAGGTTTTTTTCCAAAAAAAAAATCTAAACGCTTCTGAAAAACATTTGAATGGAGAAATCTCCATTCAGAATGGAGATTTCTCCATTCTGAATGGAGAAAATTATCTGTAGATATTTTTTTTAAAGTTCAAAACACGTCTGAAAAAAATGAATGGATAAATCTCCATTCAGAATGGAGATTTCTCCATTCTGAATGGAGAAAATTATTTGTGGAGTTTGTTTTTCAAAAAAAAAGTTCAAAACACTTCTGAAAAAAATTGAATGGATAAAATTCTCTGTAGAGATTTTTTTTTTAAGTTCAAACCACTTCTGAAAGAAAATTGAATGGAGAAATCTCCATTCAGAATGGAGATTTTTCCGATTTTGAATGGAGAGAATTATTTGTGGAGTTTGTTTTTCAATAAAAAATCAAAACGCTTCTGAAAAAAATTAATGGAGACAATTCCCTGTAGATGTTTTTTTCAAAAAATCAAAAACGCTTCTGAAAAACATTTGAATGGAGAAATATCCATTCAGAATGGAGATTTCTCAATTTTAAATGGAGAAAAAATATCTGTAGCGATTTTTTTTCAAAAGAAAATTCAAAACGCTTCTGAAAAAAATTGAATGGAGAAATCTCCACTCAGAATGGAGAAATCTGCATTTATTTTTTTGAGAAGCGTGTTTCATTTGCAATCTCATATTTTGCAAAAAAAAGGTGAAAACGCTTTTCAACAAAAGTGGATGGAGATTTCTCCATTCTGAATGGAGATTTCTCCATTCTGAATGGAGAAAAGTTTCTGGAACACAATTTACAGATAATTTAAAAAAAAAGTTGAAAACGCTTCTGAAAAATTTGAACGGAGAAATCTCCATTCAGAATGGAGAAATCTCCATTCACTTTTTTTTGAGAAGCGTTTTGCATCAGTTTTTTGAAAAAAAGAGGCGTTTTTTACTTCAAAAGTAGTTGAAAAACGCTTATTTTTTTTTTTGAATGGAGATGATTTTTCAATATTTTTTTTGGCCTGGCAGATCGGAAATAAACAAAAAAAACACAAATTATTCATTCTTCTCCATTCAGAATGGAGAAATCTCCATTCTGAATGGAGATTTCTCCATTCATTCTTTTTCAGAAGCGTTTTGAACCTTTTTTTTGAAAAAAAATCAACAGAGAATTTTCTCCATTTAAAATTAAAATGGAGAAATCTCCATTCTGAATGGAGATTTCTCCATTCAAATGTTTTTCAGAAGCGTTTCGAACTTTTTTTTGAAAAAAATATCTACAGGGAATTTTCTCCATTTAAAATGGAGATTTCTCCATTCATTTTTTTCAGAAGCGTTTTGAACCTTTTTTTTTTGAAAAACAAACTCCACTGATAATTTTCTCCATTCAGAATGGAGAAATCTCCATTCTGAATGGAGATGTTCTCCATTTCTTTTTTTTTTTTTCAGAAGCGTTTTGAACTTTTTTTTAAAAAAAATATCAACAGAGAATTTTCTCCATTTAAAATGAAGAAATCTCCATTCTGAATGGAGATTTCTCCATTCAAATGTTGTTCAGAAGCGTTTGGAACTTTTTTTGAAAACAATCTCAACAGAGAATTTTCTCCATTTAAAAAATTAAAATGGAGAAATCTCCATTCTGAATGGAGATTTCTCCATTCAAATGTTTTTCAGAAGCGTTTCGAACTTTTTTTTTGAAAAACAAACTCCACAGATAGTTTTCTCCATTCAGAATGGAGAAATCTCCATTCTGAATGGGGATTTCTCCATTTATTTTTTTCAGACGTGTTTTGAACTTTTTTTTGAAAAAAAAACTCTACAGAGAGTTTTCTCCGTTCAGAATGGAGAAATCTCCATTCTGAATGGAGATTTCTCCATTCACATGTTTCTCAGAAGTGTTCTGTTTTTTTAAAAAACATCTCTACAGAGATTTTTCTCCATTCAAGTGTTTTTTTTGAGAGGTGATTTGAGCATTTTTTAAAACATATATCTACATATAATTTTCTCCATCCAGAATGGAGATTTGGAGATTTCTCCATTCATTTTTTTCAGAAGCGTTTTTTGTTGAAAAACAAACTCCACAAATAATTTTCTCCATTCAAATATTGTTCAGAAGTGTGTTGATTTTTTCTTGAAAACAATCTCTACAGAGAATTTTCTCCATTCAGAATGGAGAAATTTCCATTCTGAATGGAGATTTCTCCATTCATTTTTTTTTCAGAAGTGTTTTGATTTTTTTTTTAAATATCTCCAGATTTTTTTTCCATTCTGAATTGAGACTTCTCCATTCTAACAGGAGATTTCTCTATTCATTCAAACGGATTATTTTTCTCTATTCAGAATTCTCCGTTCTAATTTTGATTTGTTTTCTTCCATTCCAAATAGATATGTCTTGTTCCATTCTGAATGGAGATTTATCCAGTCTAACTTCTGAAATTCAAAACATATTCACTCTGGAAACAGCTCCATCAATATTAACTGTGTTGCTGTTTTCATAAACATTTTTTTTTGAAGAAATCTCCAGTCTGAGCCTGAGTGAAGGAATATTTATTCTGGATTGAAAAAACATATATATATATATACAGTAGAAATTAGAGAAAAACACTTCTATTTCTTCTTTGCTTATTTGTTTGTAACACAATTTGTGCATGTTAATGTTCATTTCAAGGGATTTGTTTATTGAATGTATGAGATTATACTTGTTTACATATTAGATACATGGTCATCATATGTATTAGCTATATATATATATATGCATATGTTGTTGGAAGTTTCTGATATGACCACTAGCGAGGTTTGGCCTTCTCTTTTCATTTTCAGCATTTTTCAGCAGAAGAATGC